GAGTGACAAGGGGGGGGGGGTCTTGTCCTTCTCCTCCTCCTAACCCCGCCCACCCCCCACCCCACCCCCACCTCCTCCTCTTCTTGTGTTCTGTGTTCATTAATGACTGGTTCTTTCCTGGTTCCTATCAGAAGAGAAAGTTCTGGTTCCAGAGCAGGAAATGAAGAACTTCCCTTCAACAGAAGACTCTGTTCTTCCTCCTTCAGTTTTCTCAACTTTTCAGAGTGGTTTCAGGTTTAATTAAAAATAATTTCACTTTTTCACGTCTGTGTGAAGTGAACGAAAAATCAAATCAGTCTCCAGCAGCTGCCGCTCTTTTCATTTTCTCTTCTGAATAATAGAACAGACAGCGTCCACTCCTCAGTCTGGGTCCAGGACCCACAGACCTTCAGTCTGAGCCAAATCTGAAGACAATAAACAGACGGAGTCAGGACCTGGATCACCTGGACCTGGATCACCTGGACCTGGACCACCTGGACCTGGACCACATGGATCTGGATCACCTGGATCTGGATCATCTGGACCTGGATCCGCAGTTGCAGGTATTTGACTCATTGAATCTGAACTAATGGGTCTGCAGGTGGCGCTGGCACACTGCAGGGCACATGACTCCCCTCTTATCATCACCCTGGTGACATCATCACAGTGACATCACCACAGTGACATCACCACAGTGACAGCTTCTCCTCCAGGCTGCTCCAGCTCCTGAAGTTCCGTTCACAGTGTTTTTTGTTGGTTATTAATTGTTTCCAGTCATTTCCCAGGATTCCACTCTGATGTACATGTTTGTTGCCATGGTAACCTGGTGATCCCTGCTCTTGGATTCAGCTCTTGCTGCTACTCGGAGTTCACTCTGAGTTCAGGAGGGATGCTAACATTTAGACACGGAGAGACTTTTCAGACTTTTTCACTTTTTCAGATTAAACTGGTTTGGAGTTGGAAACACTGAACTGGAACTGGGACTGGGACTGGGACTGGAACTGGGACTGGAACTGGAACTGGAACTGGTCTCTGGGTCACTTGTGTATCTGGTCCTTCAGCTCACTGTTATGGCTAACTGTTAGTTAGTTCAGCTATTGTGACACAGCACTAGTCTTTATCTAAAATTCTGGTTCAGCTGCCTTTATCTAAATACACCAACTTTCACCAGTATATTGGACCACCGGACCCCCACCCTAACCCTAGCCATACTTTGACCAAATGCTTTGCTGTTTTGTTGCTAACTATTAGCCTTTTTCTGCTTAAATTTCGTCAGACTTTATGCATTCCCCGACTCAAACCTCTATGCTTGTGATTGTTTCTTGTTCAGACTTTGAAGCTTCTTTTGCTGCTGCTCCTGTTGTTAGCATTTAGCTACTTGTTTGTTTTGTGCATTTTTTTCTGTGGCCTGCTTTAGTTTTTCTCAGCTGACCTTTGACCCAAGAATGAGTGTTGTGTCAAACCTTATCCATGATGCTAACTTGCTAACTGAAGAGGCTGCAGCATCTCCACCCTGGTCTACCTCGCTTTCTCTCCCGCCCTCTTCCTCTCTCCCTCCCTCCACCCCCCACCCTCCACCTCCTCAGGGGATTTTCCAGCTTTAATAAAAAGTGGAGCTGAAACAAACACAGAGTTTTAATGGCCGTGATGTCACAGAGCTGTGTTTGCTGCGGACTCTCTCGGAGGACGGGGGTCAGAGTGGCTGCCATAGAAACCAACAGTTCTCTCTGCAGTTTTCCAGCCTGACCTCCTGCTTGTTTTCTCCTCTCCGAGAGGAGATGAAGGTGGAGGCAGAGGAAAAGGAGGAGGAGATGAGGAGGACAGAGGACAGGCTGTGGGTGGATGAAGGTAGATGTACGTGTATGTGTGTGTGCGGGGGTCGTCTCTAATCAGAGCCCAGCTGTGAGTGAGATGGTCAGATGTCGGGTGGTTGAGTGCAGGTTTGGAAAAACTTCTAGAAATATGTTTTATTGTCATTTTCAGAGTTTGGTGACGTTTTTGTTTCTTATTTATTTGTTGTTTGTTCATTTCTTCTGTAGCTCCTCCTCCATTCATGTGATGATGTCATTAAATTCCTGATTGTCACATTAGTTGAGGTGAAAGTCAGCTGTTGTCCGTGTCCTCGTGCACAGCGCACGTGTCGGGGCCTGTACTCTGAGCGTGTCATCAGTCGCCACCGCCGCCGCCGCCTCAGGAATAACAGAGCTGATTGAATTAAACCTCCATTTTTCTCCACGCTCATTCATCTCACCATGGTCTGATCCTGCGCCGGCAGCTGAACACCACTGATTGGAAAGTCAGAGGAGGAGGAGGAGGAGGAATAAGGAGAAAGGAGAGTGTTTAAGAGCAGGATGTCCTTAAGCTTCTCCTTTGTCTCCTGTCCTTCAACCTTTGAGCTTCTCATTTTATAATCAGGCTGTTGGACGGTCGGAGTCCAAGAGAGTTAGGTAAGGGGAGGGGGCAAGAAGATGACAGTCAGTCAGTCAGTCAGTGAGTTTAGCTAACATCGAGCTAGTTTTAGCTCTGCGACCTCTGACCTTGAATATTGTTCTGTGCTTCGACAACATGTAAAAACAAAACAAAAACCTGTTTGAGATCACGGTGTTGTGGCGAGTACAGTCACTCTCACGGAGCATAACACCTTCAGGTACATCCCCCCCACCACACACACACACACACACCCCAACCCCTTCAGCTTCACATCCACCCACGCACCATCATTAATATTCCTCTCTGGCTACATCCTCGCAGCCTCTGATGGAATTGCAGTGATAAGGCAGGAACAGTGGGACGGACACAATCCTGGGAATTACCTGGAAACCTGAGAGGAAAGCTGATCCTTCACTGTGGCATTCTGGGAGTAAATCAGAGGCCTCCTCTCCCTCCCACCTTCATTTGTCATGTCACATGACCAGCTGCAGTGTGTGGTCTCTGCTGCTGATGATGGTGATGACGATGACCATGATGGCGGAGGTGAGGAGCAGCGCCCAGGCCCAGGACTGTTGACGGTTCTGACAGGAGGCTGTAAACCAGTGGTTCTCTGTGATTATCTGTCATGACCCCCTAGTGGACAGAAATGTTTTCACGCCCCCTCTGCGACCCACTCCTACGCTAATTACGCAAACTATTGAGAACCTGATAACATGTATATTTTTATCGGTACAAACCACTGTGTGAGTTGCTGCCCCCTAGTGACTGGAGGCTTGTGATCATTCACTCATCACAGCAGTGGTACACTTGTGTTTAGTGTGCCATATTCCATTGGAAGCCCAATAGAGGGGGGAGGGGGAGGGCACCTCACCGCTTCCCACCTCAGGGTGGCCCGCCCCACTATTTAGGAAGTACCGGTGTATCAGGGATCGGTTCCAGGTTGAAGTTCATGTTTACTTCATTCTGATTTTCTAGTTTAAGACTCTCTGCTGTCCTTTAGTTCCTGAAACTGTTCTTGCCATTGATCTTTACTGTGAAATGACACGATGTTATGTGCTTCATAGCGCCCCCTGTTGACAGCAGTCAAGGGGGTGAGTTGTTTCTAAAGGAAAATTCCGTCTTTGTTCTTTCCAAAAGAGTTCTGATGAGGAGCACACGAGGAACCATTGAAGTTCCTTCTCCAGAGTGTTAAACAAAGTGCTGGTTGATACCAGGACAGCAGGCTCTCTGATTGGCTGTTGCCTGGATGCTGCCTCTCCCTCTCTGCCTCACATCCATGTTTTTCTATCTCCGTGTGAATGTCAGGTGATAGCCAATCAGAGAGCTTGTTGAGGGGTTTTTCTTCTCGCTGGGTTTCAGCCGCGTGAGTCTAACGGTGAAGACGCTGAGTGAGCCAGCAAATTGAATGGTTAAAAGAAGACGGAGAAAAGAGCAGAGAGGAAATGAAAATGCAAATAAGAAGGAAATGATCCTTTAACAGGTCTGATTCACAGTGAAGCCACTCATTCACCACAGACTTCCAACCTCTCACTTCTTTCTTCCTCTTCCACAATGATCACATCTTATCCTGGTGGAACATGAAAACAAAGTTCTTCTTCTGTTCTTCTTTCATTTTCCACAGGAACATTAATTGTCTCTGCGTTGACTCCACAGATCAGAGCTGGAACTGTTTGGTTTCTTATCAGTCCACCACATTTCCAGACGTGAGAGGAACCCAAGCATCTTCGTCCCCAGAGGGAGCTACATGCTGACTGCTGCAGTGATAAATCAGCAGACTGCAACTTTAAGGAGGAGACACTTTCAGCAGCCTTTTTGTTGCTAATGGCCTCAAATGGACCTGACAGATGGCGTCAGCGCAGGTCCAGGTCACTCAGGTGTGTCATTCTCAGGTTTCTCCATGCACACCTGCAACGTCAGGTCATCACACACAATGTTTCTTCCCACAATTCTGCCTTCTCCCCCAAACTCTGGACTTTAAACTGCTGTCAGGGTCAAAGGTCCTGACAGGGTCAAAGGTCCTAACAGGGTCCAAGGACGTCCAAGTGACGAACATCGACCACGATTCGACCAAGTGACGTTCAAGTATTGACCTAGTGACGTCTAAATGACGTCCAAGTGATGACCATCAACCAAGATTTGAGGTACTGTCAGGGTCCCGTGAACACACACACACACACACACACACACACACACACAGACTGAAGTAGGAAAAAAAAGTTTCAACATAAAATATAGAAACTCTAACATTTAACCTAGCACACCAGATCTTTTCCCTGTTTCTCCGAGTTTGGGGAGTAAAAATGTGTCAGTTGAAGTCCGTGGTCCTGCTCTGAGCCAGGCTGTCAAAAAGAACCAATAATAAGAGCCCAGAGGAACAACTGTGTTTTATTACAGCAACTGCACTCTTCTAATGAGAGAGGGAGAGAGAGAGGGAGGGAGAGAGAGAGTGAGAGACATTGGTTTTATTTCTTCTCAGGAACCCTCAGTGTTTATAAGAGTTTGTTCTGAAGCTGCTGGGAGAAAAATGTCTTTACCTTCACTAGAACACGGAACCTCCTCCTCTTCCTCCTCCTTCCTCCTCTTTATGTCCCCCCCCCACCTCTTTTTACTCCTCCATTTCCTTCTCCCTGTGTCTCCCCCGTGCTCCTCACCTCTCGGCGTGACATGACAGATGCTGCAGTTTTTTTCCGTCTCATTTAAAAATCAATAGATAAAAATGATGGCAGTAAAAACAGCAGTGTTGACTCTGTTGTTACCTCACACACAATCATCGGTATCTGAGCTGAGGAGACACAGCGCCCCCTGCTGGAGTCACCAGGTCCTCTCCTTAACATCCTAGCGGATGACATGACTTTGGCTCGGTGGACAGAGAGGGGTCACTGGCCTGAGGCCAGAGGTTTGATTCCAGCTGCTAATGTGGGATTTTTGAAGTAAGGCTAGCCACAGGGTCGTCAGCTGGGCTCCGCCCCTCACTGATGATGTTTCCCCTTTCATTCCAGAAGATCTCAGGGTGGTTGGGAAGCGATAAGGACGTCTCCCTGCTGCCCCCTTGGGGACAGAAATGTTTTCACCCCCCACCCCGACTCTACCCCCCCACAATTGAAATACTATTGAAAACCTGATAACATGTATATTTTTTTCTGTACATACACTGTATGAGTTGCTGCCCCCTAGTGGCTGGAGGCTTGTTATCATTCAATCATTACAGCAGTGGTACACTTATGTCCCCTGTGCCATATCCTGTTGGAAGACCATCATGGTCTGTTTCTTCCATCCTGCTGTCCATGGTGCAGCTCGCTAATCGTGGTCACAGAGGCTGCAGTGAATGACATCATCACCATGACGTCCACCATATGTTACATCATCATCATCATCATCATCATCGTCATCAGCTGACCTGCAGATCCATCTGTTCTTTGGTTATGGCCCATTGTCCTGAACTGTCTCTGCTGAGTCATAATTATTTTTTCATTGTGACCTTTGACCCTGCGCAGCATTAACCCTGTGTTACCTGCGACGGTGCTGCCTTGGTCTCGTACTCACGACAAACACACGAAGAAAAACTCGTCTGAACGGAAACCCACTCTCACTGTTGGAGGGGAGTAATAAATGCAGTTCTCAGCCCCCAGACCACGTCTGTCTGTTGACTGTCTCCTGCTGGGTCACATGACTCCTGAATGTGTTTGGGGAGCAGGGAGATGTCATCACGGCCTCATGTTTCCTCCTCCTTCCCTCGGTGGTGTACTGCTGTCTTTGGTCGCTCAGATTCATGGATGCCTGCAGGCGTTAATAAGCTGCAGTGGTTCAGCTCAGCTCTGCCTCCACCTTCGCTGCTCTCCGTCAGTCTCTGAGACACAAGCTTGACCCCCCTCCCCCCTTCACCTCCTCCCTCCTCCCTCCTCAGCCCGCTCAGAGGAGGAGTTTCTCTCAGAGGTTTCTATCAGGAGTATCTGCAGCTGGAGGGCAAACCCACACCGCACCAGGGTACAAGAACTGGCTCGGTACCAGAACATCGTGTCCCACTGTGGAGCATGACTGAGAGAGCGTGGAGGAACATCTCAAAGATCTCAGGCTCACACTGGGCTGATTTAATGTGGTGCAGTGGTACCAAACAGTGGCTCTCGGAACAGTACCAGTCCCTGGGTCATTAGATACTGGCCTGCAGAGATTCATTAAAATACACAACTGATTATTTTTAAGTTTTGTTAATTATTCATATTTAATTTAAATAGACTTTATTTCTTCTCCTTTTTCTCCTTCACTGGGAGGTTCAGCTTTACAGAACTTCCCTGACTCCTCTGACATTAGCACCAGGAGAACCAGAAGAACCAGAAGAACATGGAGGAACTGAGGGAACCAGAAGAACCAGGGGAACCAGGGGAACCCAGAGGAAAATGTTCTGTTTATTTGTTTACTCTGGTTCTTGTCATGTTAATGCTCCTTACCTGCAAGAGAGTCAGTGGTTCAATCCCTGGCTCTAATGGCTGCTGACCTCCACCCTCACTGACCACCACATCTGACCTCCACCCACACTGACCTCCACCCACAAGGACCTCCACCCACACAGACCACCACATCTAAACTTCATCTTCTCTGTCTGCAGGAGCCAACACACGGTGAACCAGGAACCATGACGTGAGTTGGACACAGATCATGTGACCCTGGGTGATGATGACACCTCCTCCAGAGATGATGACACCAACACTGTAGACAGGCCTCAGGTCTGGAGAAGGTCTGAGTCACCACAACAAGGATGTGAAAGGCAGCAAAAGCACAGTCTCACACACACACACACACTGAACACGTAGTTTTTCTAATTAGTCTGGTTCCTCGTCTTCCATCATCCTGACGACCTTGGGGAGGACAGTTAAGACAGGAGGCCCCTTAGTGTCTTTTTCTCCTCCTCCTCTGCTCCTGTACACTGTCTGATTTATTTGACCGAGGTGAAAACAATAAGCCACTCAGAGAGGTGGAGGAGGAGGAGGAGGAGGTGCTGTGAGGCAGAGATGTGATTGGACGTCAGCAGGTTGACACTCACTTTCTCCCTGAGCGTAGAAACAGTAGAACCACAGCAAGGAGTGAGGTGACTGAAGCCTCCTGAGGAGGACAAGGAGCTCCTGACAGAGGATCTCCTCTCTGAGGATCTCTTTCTCTCAGTGTCAGTTCCTTCAGAGTACATCATCTTTTTTCCCGTGCTGCACCAACAAATTTCCTTCTCATTTCAGTCCTCATGATGTCACTATTTACCAGGCTCCTATTGGACAGTACCAGCCGTGTCCACGACAGAATGAAGTTAGAACAAAAGTCGACCGAAAACAGGTAAAATAATGATTTTAGAAAAATAAAAATCAGCTCTGTCAGTTAGAGACTAAAACAACCAAACTTTGCGTCAAGGTCGACGTCAAAAAGCCTGGAGGGAGATGTAAAAGCTTCAGATTGAGTGTGTGACCAGTTTTAATTTGTGTATAATCCAGATTACAGCCAACAATAAGATGAAGTGAAGTGAAGTGTCACAACAGAGGGTGTAATGGAGTCCTCTGTGTCCTGTTGAGAGACTAAAAACAAATGTTGTCTTTGGTCTCCACACTGACTGTCCTCAGGGGTAAACAGTCACCGAGGACAGACTGCAGCTGCTGACCACTGACCGCTGCTCCGGCTGTTTTTCTCTCTCTGTCTTTTTTTCATTTATTTTTTTTCAATGTCGTGTGAGCAGAAACACTGTAACTGGTTTTTCATCTGAAAACAAAAACTGTCGGAGATGACATGAGCGAGCGCTTGTGTGTCGACAGGGAATGCACAGGCGGGTGGAGCAGTGAATAGCATAACTGAGACAAAGTGGTTAGCAACATGAGAAGAATAAACATCTACGTGAATAAACAACATGTTTAAAGGGTTTTCCTGACAGACGAAAGTGTCACTAAAAATAGACATTAGTAAAAACGTGTTCACTTGAGGTCCGCGGCCCACCGTTTGGACTCGAAATCTCGAAAGATTGTTTTAATCTGTTGTTGTTTTGTCACGTTTTGGTCGGCGAAATTCCAGCTGCCTTTACAAAGAATGATGGCACCCTCTAGTGGGCAAATATATTTTTGCAGCGAGCAATATTAAGCTGTGGCGATCAGAATAAAGTCCAGGGTTCATGTCTAAAATTTAATTTCGTTTTTTTAAGTTCTGCATTATCATTAACGATGTGTGTTTGCAACGAAGCCGAACAATTTGTTTAAAAAATAAACAAATAAATAAACAGCAGCAATCAACAGTTTTGTTAAGGTGTGAAGTTTGGAGGTGATTTTATTTTGTTCATCCACCGATGAGTAAACAAGTACAAAAAGATAACAAAAATAACCTAAATCACAGGGGCCACGTAATGGTAGCAAACATTAAATATTAACAGAAATAATGGTAATGTAGAGAACCAAACTGTTGGAGTTTTGTCCGGAAGCAGCTAATGGTTAGCATTAGGTGTATCAGTACGTAAAAGTTAGCCAAAAGAGATTATTTACCGTTGAACCTAAAATAATTCCTAGTGGGCCAGAAGATCGGTGGATTTAATGAACCAGACTATGGCCCATGCGTTGTCCACGAACCAGAGCTTGTAACCCAGAGGCCTGAATTCAGGTGGACACTGAAGGCAGCAGCAGATCAAAGTCCTCCCGCCTCCGCAGCTCATTGGTGTGGAGTCGGTGTGACGTATGTACGTGGGTGGAGTCAACAGATATCACAGGTGAACTCTGCTGAGAGCAGGTCCGGAGATGTGGTCTGGTCTGAGCTACTGCTGAGCTTGGTTCTGCGGGACTGGGACTGACCTGTTCTGTCTCTGGTCTGCGGCATCTGGCATGGACCGCCGCCGTTCAGCGTCCGCTTTTTACCGCTGTGTTGGCAGGTGCGCTGCGCTGTTCTTCTTGGCTCTTCTCTTTGACGCGCTCGGACTCGTCGTGCTCCTGGTCGGGATTTTCGGGAACCTGAATCTGGACGGACATTTCTACGGGGACTTCCTGATCTACACCGGGGCTCTGGTCATCTTCCTCAGCCTGGTCTGGTGGGTTCTCTGGTACACCGGCAACGTGCAGTTGGACTCGGAGCGGGACAGACCGGGTTCTGGTCACTTTGACATCCCTTTTACGCACTGGGCCAGGAAACTTTCGGAAAGACTCTCCAAGTCTGGGCCCGGACTCAAGCATCTAGAGTCCGGGTCTGAGAAGAGGAAGAAGAAGGAGATGATGGGTGGTCAAAAGGAGTCGATCGGAACCGTGCGAGCCTCCGCACCGGCCCGGATCAACTGGGAGGACGGACTCGGAGGAACCGTGAATCCTGGATATGAGAGTGAGAAGAGCGTGGAGCTGGGGATGGTCCACAGCTCGCAGGTGGTTCTGCAGACGGCAGCTGACAGAGCCGAGAGGCTGCTGTGAACCAGGTCAGTGCCGAACCCAAGATGACTGATCTCAGAGACCTGTCCTTAGGTCTTTGTGTTAATTACACTTTTCTTTAGCTAATTATTCCACTGCTGTTTCATCCACTTCACTGTTAGCCGGTGTTGTTCTGCTGACTTTTTAGCTTTTGGGACCAAATGAATGAAGTTTTTCTGCTGAGTTTGAGGTTTTTTTTGTTTGTTTGTTTGTTTTTTGAGTTTTTTTAGCTTAGTTTTGAGCTAAGTGTTAGCTTTGTCCAGGCTACCTTGAGAAGTTTTGGAGGAACGTCAATGTGTGCTTTAAAATTCTAAAGCACAGTGATCTGGTTTTCTAATCTTATATCATCAAAGGTTTCCAAACTCCTGGCCCTCTGCCCCTCCTCCCTGAACCCCCTCCTCTCAGGGAGTCTGTTACAGGAACTCTTAAGGACCCATTTCCTCAGAACCCTGTGTAATTCGTCCTCATAAATCTGTGACCTGTTCCTTAGTTTCTCTAAAAGTTAAAGCCTTTTGAAAAATTCATGAAGCGAACAAACAAACTGAGTCTCATAAATATTCATCAGAGCTGAGCTCAGTACCTGGACCTGTCAGCCCGCTGTTACTGTTGCTGCTGCTGCTGCTGCTGCTGTTGCTGCTGTTGCTGCCGCTGCCGTCGTCTCATCACAGCTGTTTGTCTCCGTCTCAGGCTGAAGACTAACATATCTTCTCCCCTGTGGTGTTTCCTCAAACCTCACTAACAGTCACAGTGGTTCTGGCCACATGACGTGACAGTAAAAACCATCAGCTGCAGAACCAGACCTTAAATTCAGTCTGTCTGTAAAAGCTAACTGTTCACTTGGGTTAGCATAGCACAATATCTTAGAGTCAGTGTGTGTGTGAGTTTTGGCTAGCCTGCCTGCAGTCCAGATTAGCATCAAGAATTATGAGTGATACAGTACTACACGAGTACTGTTCCTGTTCCCTCTGTGTAAAAGTACCACAACTGCAGTGTTCCTGTCTGTGTGAAGAGAACAGCAGACAGTGGTGGGAACTGATCGTGGACCGTGGTCTGTAATCATCAGAACTGATGAAGGACAAACAGTAACAGTACTGATTCACAGCCCCAGGGGGGCACGACATACAATCAGTACCACACGACATACAATCAGTACCACATGTGTGGTTCCGTCCCTCAGGACCATCAGCCTCACATCTTATGAATATCTGTAATAACAATAATGACTTTTTTAAAGCTGAAAAGATTTTCACAGGCCTGTGGCAGATTAGGATTAATCATCAGCAGCATCTCTCCCTCACCCACCCTCACCCATCCTCTCTCACCCTCTCTCACCTTCACACCCCTTCATTATTTTTAGACTCTGCTTTGTTTGTAGCAGAGTCAGAGCTTTGGGCCAAAACAGGAGGAATGGAAATTTAATGGAGCAGAGATTATTGATCAGAGCTGCAGAGAAAATGGAAACAAACGCAGATTATACGTGTACCTTGAGACAGACAGACGGACAGACAGACAGACAGACAGTCAGTCAGTCAGAAGGTCCAGCAGACAGATGGTCAGGCAGTCAGACAGACAGACAGTCAGTCAGTCAAACAGATGGGGGGGGTCATTTGTCTGTGCCTCTGTCACAGACTCCGTTCATGGAGACGGAGTGAAGAGGTGAAACGTTTGCTCCAAGGTCGTCCTGAATTAGTTGAATCAGAGACGTTCCCTAAAACAGAAGGCAGTCAGCGTTTAAATGATGACAAAGATCAAGAAGAAAGAGACAAATCAAGGAGTGAAAGAGTCTGAGACTCTGAGTCAGGAACCAGTGACATCACAGCAGTCTCACATTATTATTATTATTATTATGGTCTGTCATCTATTAAATGCTTCTCATTGTCATTTTGATTCATGTCCTTCATTCAAACTTTGCTTTTTTTTTCTTTAGGTGAAATCCAGATTGTCCTATGGCCTCCTGCTCCTGCTGCTCCTGCTGCTCCTGCTGCTACAGCGAAAATTATTCTTTAAAGAATCCTTCAGCTTTTGAACCAATGTCACTTTTAGATTTGAATGTTGAGTGAATGAATGCACAGACACTTTATCAATCAGGGAAAGGTCCTGCACACACACACGCACGCACGCACACACGCACACACTCGCGAACACACACACACACACTGTCAGAGCAGGGCTGTGCACAGAGGAGTGGACTGTCTTTAGCCTGTAAATAGCAGAAATGTGTTTTTTTAACCTGTTTGGTCTCAGATGTAACTTATTATTAATTTTATTATTGTTATTGCTAGTAATAAAGTCGTGTGTTGTTTACAGCAGAACTGTTGTCTGGTTCTGAAGAACAGATCAGGTGACAGTCTGTGGCTAGCTCGCAGGTCCACCGCTGCCTCCTGTGGCCAGTTTGTGTCACTGAGGGAACGTTAGGCCGCAGGAACCGCTTACATTTTAGAGAACGACATCATGTTTCACGTGTTTCCCTCTGATTGGACAAAGACGTTCTGGTGAGAACAGGAACATTAGTCTGGACGTCGATGGTTCTTTTATGTCACATTTGTCTCAGTGATTCTGATTCTTTGTGTTGCGTGACTTTGATATCAGAACCAGAACCAGGAAGAGGATCACATGTCCACACGTCCCTACATCGTCTACTTCACACTGTACTTCTCTGCTGTTGTGAAATCTGAGTGTTGGTCGCCGTTGGTTGCTCATTCATTGGAAACCAGTCAAACTGGGTCATGTCAGATTGGGGGGGTGGAGGAGAGGGGGTGGGGGGCAGGGGTGGGAGGGCACTTCTCCTGTGTATGAAACATAATCAGGCTTTTTTTTTCACATGTTGTTGTGATCTTTGCTCTTGTACAATCTTTACAGCTGGTATGTGGCCCATCCCACAGTTAGTGTTGCTGAAGTGGACGCACCCTGTTGACAGTGTGGCTGATATTTAATCTCCATCCGTCAGTGTGGAAACATCGGGATCACAGAAAGATTCAAACTAAAACGACAACAACTGGACATCATCGAAATGTCATGTTAATTATGGTCTGGATTTTCAACCAGCAGGATAAATATATATATATATATATATCGTTCAAAATGATTTTATTTTTGTACATTAGTGACATGATGAAAATGTTTAACATTTTATTAACATTAAAGACATGTCTTTAAACTGGTCTTCACTGTGAGAGAACAGTTAAAACAAAAACCAAACCAACATCTTTACTGGTTTTTGTCTTCTGGTCCAGAATCATCGGAACGACACGGATTTTGTATGTTTGTTTGAATGTTGTCATGACTTTGTGTTTCTTCAAAGGTGTGTGTGTGTGTCAACAGACTGTTGTTGAGGTGAGGAAACACAACAGACGTGCCAGCATCCACTGACTTATTCATTAGTGAATTAGCTGCACGTCCACAAAGGTGTCACAATCCTGAGTCTGAGGAATTACTTTACACACACACACACACACACGCACTGTGCTGGGTCAGGTGACACTCTTTGACAAAGAGGAGAAGGGTTAAATCTACAGGATTTACAGGATACAGATTAGAATGATGTCACATCCTTTCACACTTACAGAAAACAGTACAGGGACCAACACTTGAGCCATGTTTACATACCTCAACTCAGGTTGCATTCAGAGAGGTTTGGACCCGATCCTTGTGGTGAGAGTCAGGAGTCGTACCACTGAACCACTGCTGCGTCACAACCTTAACATTAAAATAAAGAATTACAAAAAAAGTGGCTAACATTATTAGAAATGTTAGATATTATAGAACTAAAAATGGCTAAATCCACTATATCAGAAATATGACTGATTAAAAAAAAGAAAATCTCCCAAAGTTGTTCCTACCTGGTAGCATTAAAACATGCCCAACATTTCTGTAAAAATTTTGAAAAAATAGAAAAGAAAAAAGAAATATCCTCAAAATGAAACTTGAAATGCAGGTTCATAGTCTAAAGCCCAAAGTTATTTAATATCTGTATTAAATGTGCCAAAAAACAACATGTATTCAGGGTGTAGTTATAAAAATCAGCTAAAAACCAAAAAAATGAAAACCTTTGGCCTCATATGTCGATATTGTCCAAAGAATTTATTCTTCCGATATCAACCGATATAGCAGGGCAGTGGTGGAAGTTAAGTGTTGCCTGCTCACTAAGGTGATGGGTTAAAACAGTATTTATCAATTATTTTCTGCCCCTTAAGGGACAGAATTAAAATGCTATTGAGTGGCTGGTAATATTTATTTATTCATTTGTACAAACCACTGTAACAGTTGCTGGCACCAGCATTCTACATACAATCCCCTGATTATCAATGTAGATTAATACAATAAAAGCTACAATGCTGCCATCTAGTGACTAGAGGCTTGTTCATCGTTCATAATGTTATGTTCATTTGTTGTAAAGAAGTTACCAGTTACCGGTATGGGAGGAGGAGTGAGGAGGTGTGGTAAGAGCGCATGTGTGTGTGAGGAAGAGGTTTAGAAGGAGGTAAATCAAGCATCGTGTTTTCACACAACTTTCGTGCACAACTGAAATCGGGCACTGACGCCCTCGCCTCCCTTTCGCGCGTGCGTGAATCGGGCAGCTATGCGCAGCCTGTAACTTTGCTCTGATGAAGTTTGTCCCAGTGACGTTGTCGTTCGTAACTGTCCAATATGGCGGCCATCTGAGCATAAACAAGCAGACAGGCACTGACACATCTTTTTGAACCCAGAAGTGACTCAGGGCAAACACCAGTTCCAGGTTCCAGGCTGAGAGATGGAAGAATCGGACTCGGTTCCACTCTTCAGCTTCGGTGTCATCGCTGATATCCAGTATGCGGACATCGAGGACGGCTTTAACTTCACCCGAACCCGGCAGAGATTCTACCGGAGCAGCCTGGAGCTGCTGGAGCGAGCTCAGAAGCACTGGTCTGAGGAAACACCTAGACCCAGGTTCGTCCTGCAGCTAGGAGACCTCATAGACGGATTTAACCGAATCCACGAGGCCTCTGAGAAGGCTCTGGACACGGTTCTAAGTCGGCTGTCTCCCGGCCCTGCAGACATTCCTGTCCACCATGTGTGGGGAAACCACGAATTCTACAACTTCAACAGGACGTTTCTGCTCCAGTCCAGACTCAACTCGACACCAATGAGCGCGCAGGACCAACACCTGCTGACTGTTAGTCCCGGTTCAGACACCCATGCCTACCATTTCAGTCCAGAACCGGGGTTTAGGTTTGTGGTTCTGGACGCGTATGATGAGAGTCTGCTGGGTCGAGATGAGTGCAGCGCTGAGTACCAGAGAGCCCTGGAAATGATCCGGGTACACAACCAGAACCAGGACCTTAACTGCCCTCCAGGTACTGTGAGAACTGCAGGTTCTGGTCACTAGGAAGAACATCATTTTGGCCTGAAAAAACAACAACAAACAATTCATTAGAATTCATTCTTTACCAATTTTTTTGTAAAAAAAACAAAAAAACAATCCCATGTTGCCTTCTTTTTGTGTGTAGCTTCTTTGTATATAGAATGAATATGTCATTTGTTACAGAATTTCTCTTGATGACGTTTAGTTGCTCATCGAAACTATTTCTTAAATAATAACATTTAAAAAATACAAATAACGTTTATTTTTAATACAAAAACGGATGATTATTTCATTCATTATTCAAAGCTGTTAAGGTGAGGACGACAGGAAAGACCAGTTTCCTGTGACCCGACTGTTTCAGTTGACAGGAAGGTAAATGAACTTGATTTGTTGCTGTTTTCCAGAGTCTGGTTTTCTGCAGAAGAGATTCACCAAGTTTAACGGAGGTCTGGGTGGAGATCAGCTGACGTGGCTCCAGGCTGTTCTGACTTTAGCTGATCGTCAGCAGGGAAGAGTCGTCGTCGTCAGTGAGTCACTCAGTACTCTTCAGACAGGAACACACATGAGCAGCTGCCAGACCACACAGTCAAACCTGAGATTCAGGTGTTAGCTTAAAGCTACTACTTCTCAAATAGTGGGGTGGTAACCTGCTGTAATGATGAGGAGCCTCCAGTCACTAGGTGGCAGCAACTCACACAGAGGTTTGTACAGATAAAAATATACATGTTATCAGGTTGTCAATAGTATTTCAATTTGCCAGGGTGTGGGTTAGGGGCAGAGTGAAAACATTTCTGTCCCCAAGGGCGGGCAAGACAGAAAATAATTGAGAATCACTGGGTTAACGCTAACCCTCAGGATAAAGAGAACCTAAACCCAAGAAACATAGCCCACATCAACAGACCAAGACTGTTCTCAGCTCCCAAACACAGTTCCACAGGTTAATTGATGGAAACAATAATTATATTACAGATCAGACTGTGAAAGTTCTTAATCAGTTCTCTGTCCCCTCAGGTCACCTTCCAGTTCACCTTGGTTCCACTGACCCCATGTGCCTGGCCTGGAATTATGACAAGGTCCTGGAACTGTTGAGTTCCCACAGCAGTGTGGTGTGTTTCCTGGCAGGTCATGACCATGACGGAGGATACTGTCTGGATCCGGAGACGGGGGTGCATCACGTGACACTGGAGGGTGTAATCGAGACGGCACCTGAATCAGATGCTTTTGGTACTGTTTATGTATATGAGGATCGAATGGTTCTGAAAGGCAGGGGCAGGGTCCAGGACCGGACTCTGATGTTCCTCAGTTAACAACAAGGATCAGTGACTCTGCCCTCACTTCCTGTTCGATGGGAAGTGATGTCACATTTCATTATACCTCATCATTTTTTAAGATGGTTTTAAAAAAAGACTCTATCACTTTAGCACTGTTGATTAAATTTAATTTTTTTTAATATTTAGATGAAAAAATAATGTTTTTGTTTTTATGACAGATACAATTTACTTTTAAAATTTAAAAAATCTAAACTGATGTTTGAACATGGTACTTTTTATTATGATGATAACTGATGATAAACAGTTGGTTTTTATTTTTAATTTATTTAAACTCTAAACCCTAACCCTGTCAGGGTCTGCAGATGAGCTACCTCCGATTTAACAGAGTTGACACTGAGATTACTGTAATGTTTCTAAAAACAAAGATAATCCCTGCTGTCTTTATATAGATATAGATACATAAAGAACAACCTTACGACTCCAAGTTTTATTTGAGATTGTTTGTTGCTAACTCCTCGGCCTCTTCTCCCATTCATTTGTGTTGTTCTGACTTTGAGCTCTTTGTTCGACGACCTTGAGTGAATTATTGAAGTCGTGTTATTTTACTAAACAACTAGACAAAGCTGTATAGTTGTTTAGTACACGTAAAACAACTTACATTGAACTTGTCGCTGTAGAACACTTTACTGGAGATAAGGTCTCCTCCCTGCCACTAGGAGGCTCCAGGGTCCATTCTACCCGGGCTTGAATATTATCCTCAAAGTAAATGAATAATCAGTGAGATTAAGAGAATCAAGAGTTGTAGTAAAAAAAAAGAAAAGACCAAACGCCTTTAAAAAACTAAGACAGTCCAGTTTCCTGTGAAGACAGAACCTACAAGAACTAGAATTTGGTGAGGTTTAGAAAACAATCAAAACCATGATTCACTGCTTTGAATAATTTCAAGCACTATTTCAATTAAATATTTTCAAAATCAGAAAGCTCTTAAAACTATTGGAACATGTTAAGATTTCAACATATTTATTTGAACCTTGACCCCAGAATGAAGATGTCGTGCCCAGTTTTTAAAATTGTTTCTCTTCTTTCCTGTCCTTCATATATTTGGTTTAATTATTTTCTTTCCGATTACATTATTCACTTGATACATTTAGTAGACAGTTTAGTCCACTGAACCACTTGGGGGCGGTGTTTCTTTCTCTGCTGCTGGAATCCAACACAACAATGGCGACTCCCAGTCCTGATAGTAGCTCCGGCTCCAGCTCTAGCTTCGGCGGAGGGGTCGTGGGATCCACGTCCCACCTACTGCACCAGCAGACCCAGAGCAGCAGCATGCAAGGTTCGGTTCTACTGTCTCGCTTTACCCTGGTTCTCGTTTTCGTAATTCATAAAAACATTGGAATTTCAACAAGGCAATGTAGCTGGAGCTTTTCTGAAAAGTGATCGGAGTTGAGTCAGAGTCGGTCCTTCTGCGTTTCCTGTCAAACGCTTCAAAATTAAGTTACTGTCGAATTCCGTAAGGCGTCGTTTATGAGACTCAAGCTCATGAAGGCGTTCAGTCAAATTGTTTAGTTTGTAATTGTTATTATTATTACAAACTGCGCAAATCAACGAGTTTATCGATTTAACGAGTCAAAATGTAGCGATGTATCTCTTTTTAGCTTGTGACGTGAAGGCAACTAAAACCAGTCAGGTGTTAAAATTATTCCGTTTTTTATCTGTGCTCAACAGTTTCTTACGAGAATTTCTAACCAAATCATTTAAATTATGCTAAATATTTTGTTTGTACTTGCAGATCAATGTAGTACTTTGTTGTGTTATTTGACCACGTACTTTGTGACCCAGAACACACACAATATTCAGTGCAAGACTAAAGGTTACCATGTCAGGTTAATTCAAAGGTGTTAAAGCACACAATAACATTTCATACTAACGGTGTTTCTTAATATAGAAGTCCACTTATATTCTTAAGGCCACCAATTACAACTTCCGCTGTCGCGCAGATCGTGTTAGCTAACTTTTAATAGCTCAGTTAGCCCAGCAGTTCCCTGATGCTGCTCAGTAAAAGAAGTGATTTTTGTTGTTATTGTTGTTTTTATAATACTGACAATATTCTCACTGTCAATCCCACACGGTGTTAATAACCTACTGAACACAAACAACATACTGGCAAACACTAAATTAAAAGAATACATATAAATAAATATCCGGTGTTCATAGTTTTGTCCACTGCTAATATTAGCATCGTTAAGGCCCAGCACTGATTTCATGTCGTGTTTGACTTAGAATAAACGCATACAGCTGATTTAAATATGCAGCAATCTAGTTCATTTAGTTCATTCTACTTCTTATTTTAGCGTGCTAGCATTCTTTTAGAATTAAAGTTAATGTAGCTGCTATTAAGGGAGCTTTTCGATAGTTAGCGTGATTAAAGCTCGAACATTAATACAGCCGTGTTCAAATAATAACATTGTAATTACACGTTCTTGTTGTTTGCTGGTTAACCTTGTAACACAACTCACTCACGTGACTTCAGTGGCTTAAATGTTGACTAATGATTCCATTACCTGATAAACCCCACTGCAAACAATGGACTCAATTTTATTTTCTATTGTAAAGTATTGTCTTTTTTATTTATATATATCATGTCTTTTAAACTGCACGTAGTTTCAATCATATGCTCTACTGAAGACTGTATGCTTTTGCTTTTGAGTTGATGTAACAGTTATTTTAATTGTCTCAGTAAAATAAATCATATTTATCAGAATTATCAGGATCTAAAAGAAGTTTAGACACGTGTGTTTTTATATAAAAGTTAGTTATACGTTTCTGACGTTACAGTTATGGCTGTAAAATGCTGTTTATTACCTAATTAATGCTAATTTAAAAAAAAATTAAATGTATTTCCTGAAAGCTATCGCTTTCTCTGTTGCATTTAGACCATGTTATTTATCTTCTAACTCCAACCACTTGATGTTAAAACCAATGTTGCAAGTATTAATGTCTTTTTCTTCCTTTTGAATCCTACAACACTGGAAAATACTTGGATGTTCAGTTCGTTACGGATTGGTCGTGTCATGGCCAAGTTCAGATGAATGTAGAACCGTTGAAACCTGTGAGTCAGATCTAACCCTGAACCTCAGATGATCCAGTCAATGTCTTTGTGTTTTTGACTCCAGGGTTTCAGATCAGCCTGTGTGGAGTTTCTCAGAGTAAGCATTAGCCTGAATCACCGCTGCTGTATGTTGGTGACTCCGGTGTTCTGCACTGGTTTCTGCTCTGATTCAATGGAACTACTGTAGACCACTGCAGTAGCCAGTCCTAGTTCTGTGGTCCAGGGGGAGTCTGTCTACTGCTGTCTGCTCCGACTGTCTCACACTGGGTTGTGGTTCAGAGACCGGAATGTTCTGGGAGGGCTTCAGGGACGTTGGTTGAATGTTGGAAACTTTAACACTTTACCTCAGCACTGTGAACAGAAGCTGACCAACAAACACCAACTGACACACAAACATGTGGACTGAAGACGAGAATTTTTTAGGTCATCGAAGGCCACGAGGTCACAACAGTACCCAGATCAGTTCTGATCACCACATCAGTCTTATTGTTCAGTTATTTTTAAAGACATTTTTTGCTTCTTTTACTTTTGTTCTTCTGGCTATTTGTGGTTTAAAATATGTTGGTTGGAGGTACTTAAATGTCGGAGTTTGTAATATTGAATTTATTTGAACCAAAGTTACAAAAACCACTCAGGTCCATTGAGCTGTATCACTAAAGTGCAGAAAACGTCTTTTCTGTTCTATTTTACGGACATTTCTTCAGAAATCTTCCTACTTTTCTATCTTGGCTTGGCAAATTGGACATTTCAGACATATTTTCATCATTTGCTGTAATACCCGACATTTGATGAAGCTCCAATCAGGAGTCAGTACTGATGCTATGAAACTGAAATCACTGTCAGTGTGAAGAAAACAGTTCATTCACACTGATGACTGGACGGCGGTGACAGCAGTCACATGACCCCCACAGTCTGGACTCTCCTTCACGCATCACTTCTGACTGTTGAAACATTAAGAACCAGGTTCTCTGTTTTGGGTTTATTTTATTGGTTTTACTTTGGACTGGGATTCCCAATATCAGCTGCTGCAATATCTTTTGGGCTCACAAGAAAAAGTGTTTTGTTTTAATATGGCTTGAACCCATTTGACTGTGGGAACCCCTGCAGAGAGTGAGATTTGGGAAACCCTGTACACATGGACAGGCTGTTTGTGGTTGAGCTGCATTTTGTGCTTCCCCTTAACTTGAGATTAGCTGAAGTTAAACTGAGGTTTTGACAGCACAGAGTCTGAACCTCAGCTTAAAGCAACCAGTGTTTGCCTGACCCAGAGCTGTCAGAACAGTCTGGACAGTCAGAACAGTCTGGACAGTCTGGTTTATTGCCTCATTTCTTCAGTCCTATTGTCAGTTCAGGTTTGTTCACCTGATTATTTCACTGCCAGTGGTCTGATCTCAGAGGGACATTGCTGTGTAGTTGTGCATACACATCAGTGCCCTGATGTTGATTCTGTCTGACAGTGAGATGATGATGGGACTGAAGATGTTAACTCACTATTGCTCTGTTCTAACAACATCAAAACCTGAACTACCCCATTAAAAAAGCTAAGGCTAATCTCAACTTGAGTGTGTGCAATCTGAATGGAAATGCTGTAATCCCTGTCTACATCAGATGGTTTAAGACCCATTGTGCTGCATGTTTATGTCGATCTGTTTCTGGATCTGTTTGTTGATTGTTTCTGCTCTTCTCTTCTCTCTCTCTCTCTCTTTTCTTTTTTTTACCAAGGTAAACGTAAAGCTCTGAAGCTGATCTTTGCCAACCCACCAGTCAAACCCACATCCAGACTCTCCATTAATCCCACCCCTCCGTCTTTCCAAAACCCACACATGTGAGTAAGCGATGACTGCACCACCTCAACACATATACACACAATTATCCACTCACTTGCTTCCTTGTCCTTGTGCAGAGAACGTCTGAGGACCCACAGCATCGAGTCTTCAGGGAAGCTGAAGATCTCTCCAGAGCAACATTGTGACTTTACTGCTGAAGATCTTCGAGACCTGGGTGAAATCGGCCGAGGAGCCTATGGTTCGGTCAACAAAATGGTCCACAAACCTACGGGTCAGATCATGGCTGTGAAGGTGAAGCAGCTGCTCCTCCACCACCACCACCACCAGAACTTCATTAGATGTTAGACGATAGGTGAAGAAACACTGACCAAACTTCCACTGTTTCTGAAACTCCTCTCTGAACTCAAGTTGTTTACTTCTTCTAAAACAACTGTTCACTTTCAGCCACTATTTAGTCTCTCAACTATCTAGCGAGAACTAGAATTGGTACATCTGTGTACTGGGTTCCTGTCAGGTGAGGGTTCAACACTTTCAGGGATAAAGGCATCGTACTGTGGTGGATTTAGCGGAGATGATGGAGACAGGAAACAGGAAGAACCAGAGTAACGATGAGAACAGGAAAGAACTGTTTGTTATGCCTTGTTCACCTTGGCTTCAGAATTTTCTGACTTTTCTGTTTGGCTGTTTCCTCAGAGGATTCGATCCACGGTGGATGAGAAGGAGCAGAAGCAGCTGTTGATGGATCTGGACGTGGTGATGAGGAGCAGCGATTGTCCATACATTGTTCAGTTCTACGGCGCCCTTTTCAGAGAGGTACAGTCCAACCCCTTCCCCCCAGAACTGATCTCGATGTCGGTTAAGGTTCTCACTCACCTAGGTTGCCTAATCAAAGCTGTCCACTAGAGGACAGCTGGACTGTTTTAGCTTCAGGACGTTTCAGCTCTTCATCCAAGTCTTCTTGTAAAATGGCACTCCTCCAGGTGGCAGCCTGTAATTGCAGCTCCCGTCCTGTTTTATGTTGTTTTGTTTGTTGGTGGGTTTATTGCTTTTGTTTGTTTTGTGGAACAATCACAACCTAGGGATTAATAAGGCCACTCTCTCCGTCCATCTGTCTGTCGACTGTCTGTAGTAGTGAAGGAGACTTCTGGATAAAGAGATGAAATCTTCACATAACCAATGCAGTCCAGATGCTTTCTACCTAATTTATTAAATCCAGTGTTTCATTAATCCAGTCTTTGAATGGAACCCTGGCTTTTATTCTAAAATATGTAATGGTTTATTTTTCCAGTAGTATTGTTGGATCTGTGTGGAACTAATCTGACGCACACTCTGTTCCTGTTCTTTGTTCCAGGGTGACTGTTGGATCTGTATGGAACTCATGTCTACCTCATTAGACAAATTCTACAGATATGTTTACTGTGCTTTAGACGACGTCATTCCAGAGGAGATTTTAGGGAAAATCACATTAGCTGTGAGTGAGAACTTTTTCATTCATACATACAAACTGATTCAGGGTTATGGATTAAGATGCATCTGGAACAGTTTGAGTTTTGTTTTTTGTTTGCAGACGGTCAAAGCACTGAACCATTTGAAAGAAAACTTGAAAATCATCCACCGAGGTGAGTTGGATGAAGTCCTCACATTTATTATTCGGTTTGTTTAAAAAAAATAGGAAAAACATTTTTTGTTTTTTTTTCAATGATCTGAAGATATTTCATAAAATATCTATTGTTCATATGCATGTAGAGATTATTATATTTATTTTTGTGTTTGTGTTGTGTGGGAACAGACATCAAACCCTCCAACATTCTGATGGACCGTAAAGGAAACATCAAGCTGTGTGATTTTGGAATCAGTGGTCAACTTGTGGACTCCATCGCTAAGACCAGGGACGCCGGCTGTAGACCTTACATGGCTGTAAGTCCACGTTTGAGACCAGTGACCGGACCTGAGTCTTAGTATGTTAAGACGGTGTAAACATAGTCACCGCCAGTGAAGCCAAGGTGGAATGAGTTCTTGATACAACTCAACAAGTATGAGACCCATAGATGCAACCCACGAGACAGTAGTTAGGTGTGACGTCAGAGTGACTCATGGGTTCAAGTAGAATCAGGGTGCAGCTCTGAGCTGCTGTTGTTTGCTGTGTTGATGTACACGTTGACAGATGAGGTCAAACAGGAGGCAACGGTGGTTGAGGTGGTTTAGACATGAGCTGAGGAGGAGACAGTGGAGGTGTTGGACAGTGGATGTTGAAGATGGAGCTGCCAGGAAGAAGCCAAAGACAACTCAGAAAAATGTATGAATGTAGAGATGGTTTGTGTAAGGAGGTAGGAGATGAATGGGTGGTGTAAGGAGGTAGGAGATAGTGTGGTGCAGACATAGCTTCAGTGTTGTCATTTCTTTTCTTCACTCTTGTTTTCCAGCCAGAGAGAATAGACCCCAGTGCCTCCAGACAAGGCTACGACGTTCGCTCCGACGTCTGGAGTCTGGGAATCACACTGGTAGGGAATGATGTGCTGATGTAGTGGTGACTTTGAAGGAAGTTTGTTTGTTTGTTTTCCCTGATGTGTTGAAACTGTGCTCCTCACTCACACTGTCCAGTACGAGTTGGCCACGGGCAGGTTTCCCTATCCAAAGTGGAACAGTGTTTTTGATCAGCTGACACAGGTGGTGAAAGGAGAACCTCCACAGCTCAGCAACTCAGAGGAGAGACAGTTTTCCCCAAAATTCATCACCTTCGTCAACCTGTGGTGAGTCAAGGGTACTGCAGTAGCCAAAACAACACTATGACAGCTTAATAATGAAATAACAATAACAATAACGGTGACTGTTGTGCTGGTGACGGTGCCTCTCTGTTGCTGACCGTGTTTTTTTAATTTTTTTATTTTTTTTAGCCTCACAAAGGACGACTCCAAAAGGCCAAAGTACAGAGAACTGCTGGTGAGTTCCAACACTGCTCTCCCAAAATACTGTAGGTCAGGACCCAGCATAGAAGTTTGAATTCAGTTTGATATCCTAAAGAAGACTTCTTCAAGTTTAGACTGGTGTTTTTGCTGCCCTCTGCCTGAAGACTGAATAAACGGCCTCAGATTCAGATTTGAGGATTGAAGGTCTCCATCATACATAGTTCCTTCATACATCTGCTCTTCATGAGCTGTCATCAACACTGCTAGTGGAAAGGAGGAGGGACAGTGGAGATGAGGAGGAGAAGGTATAAGCTTAGGTTGAGAAATAAAAGTTTTGCTTCTTCCTCTTCTTCAGAAACAACCCTTCATCCAGATGTACGAGGAGCGTCTGGTAGACGTGGCCTCCTACGTCTGTCGGATCCTGGATCTGATTCCTGCCTCTCCAGTCTCTCCGATGTACGTGGACTGATGCCGAAGTGCTCCATCTGCAATAGTGTGTGTGTGTGTGCGTGCGTGTGTGAGAGTGAGAGTGAGAGAGTGAGCGTGCGTGCATGTTTTTCATTTCCAAAGGACAAAAAAAACTTGGCCCAAACTTCCCTGGTGCAAAGACCAAGAGTTTCTCCGGTTTATGATCTGATAATTCGCTAGGTGGCGCCAAAGGAAAAGTGTAGGGCAGTGAGGAATGTGGACCCTTTTAAAGATGAATCCACATCAGTCTGTACCAGTCAGTCAGTGACTGCTGTAATCAGCACTGACACCTGTGTCTGATCCATACTGCGTATCACTGTAGTAACCATAGAATATTACAGTATTACTGAAGCTGCTGACCCGATACTCCATTTCAAACAGTTGTTACTTTATATTTTAGTAAGTTATTAGTGGTGCTGATATGAGTACCAGTCTGATGTTGGTACTAATATTTAGTTCTGCTGGCAACACTGGTACTGTTAATGAGGCACACTCACTCCATCCAGCGGCCAGTCGGTGTAACTTCAGCAAAAATTAAAAAATGTCAAATTATTGTTTCAAAACGAAATTCATCTTTATTAACTAGTGGTCACTCAGTGTAACTGCAGTATGAGACTGTATGGGCATGGGTTTAATAATATATATGTATATATTTATACATATATACTATATATATATATAGGTGTGTGTGTGTGTGTGTCAAACAAGATGTTAACCAAATAAACCAACGAACAAAGATTCTAAAGAACTTTATTTTCATGTTGTGTGTTGAGTATTGTTCACTCTCACACACACAAACGGTGGTGTTGTGGCTTCACTTTAGTTTTTTTTTTAAAAATAAGCACACATTGTGAGATTCTTTTGTGACGCAGACGATTTGAGCTGATCCTGTTTTTCCTGATGTAAAGTTACTTTAGGACGTGATGTCCTTTCATGTAAATGTGTAAATGTAAATAGTTCCAGGAAGTCTGCTGTTTTCCAGGCGGTTCTGCTTCACAGTTGAGATGATTGGATTTGAGAATTGATTGTTCTGGTTTTGGGGGATGAACGTCACAGCTTTTCAGCTGCCTGTCGTAGCACTGTACTAGGGAGCTGCTCATCCACCACACTGCCACCAACAGGCAAAATAGCAGTAGCTACACCTGTTTAAGAAAATGCTGCTAAAATACAAACTTCTCACACACACACACACAGGTTCAGAGTTGAGCTGCAGGTGAAGAGTGGGCTGATGATGTGTAGTCTTCCTTCTGCTGCTCAGCAGGTTCCTGGTTGAATTCCATTCTTCACGTCTTCCACTTCTGACACCTATAGAAAGTGTTGTTTCAGGAAGGGCATCTGTGTATAAACTGCCAAATCACTTCACTGCCTCTGTGGTGCCAAATGATGGTAGAACAGTTTAAGGCGATTCATTGCAGTAAGATGGAGTTATTCCATCTTCATCTGCTGCAGTGTTGAGTCTTTACAGTCCTGTTGGTCTGTGGTCTGTGTCCATGTGTCCTGGTCACTGACCACACGTCAGAGAGTCGCCTCCAATAAGAATGTATACAAACTGTTTGGATTCAAACTCATCTCGTCTTCTCTGGTGGGAATTTTTTTTCTGAAGAAGCTTTTCTTTTGAAGCCACTGCTGAATTCTTAGGGTACATACAAAAAAGGTGATGATGATGTCATAGAAATTGCGATCTATTAGAATATTGATAGTAGATTATACGATAATATTAAGGACTATTGTATCTTTATTGAGGGTTAGAAATAAATTTCCCATGAAAAGATTTTTCACTAGTTTGTCTCCTCTCTTCTTCATGGCTTCATCTTTCTGCTTCCTGTGCCTCCTGATCAAAAACAAACGAAACTTTGTGAATAATGATAACAAATTTAGATTTGTTCAAATGTCTCTTAAATGTTCTGATCTTCTATCAAAAATGTACCACTTAATTTCTTACTACTGATTTTCAGATGTAAAGTCTCAGTACCATACTCAAAATTATAAAGCAGATTTTCTCTCCAGAACTCCAACGTGTTTCCCATTTTAAAAAGTAAAAAAAAAAAAAAATTTAAATTGCCAAAAAATGTCCAGTAAAGATTAACTGCTAGTTATAAAACATGACAATGACACAAATGCAGTTCCTTTGCCACCACTAGGCTGACACATATTTTCAGAGATGTTTTCTTTAGTCATGTTTACAAAATGATACACCACTTATGAAATGATATGTAATCTCATATTTATATTGAGGATTAAAATGACAAACATAATTGTCAAAATGTTTTGTGTTTGTTTATTTTATTACTTGATTTAATACGAGACACAAGAGACATGGTATAAATATAAGTTTTGTTTAATAAAGGGGAAATTATAAATATTATATGATTCCGTAGGTGCTTCGGAGCACTCACGGAGATGCTCGGCACTCTTGTGATGAGGTATATGTATATGTACATTCACGTGTACGTTACAATCAGTCCCCCTTTTCTCGGTGCACACTCAAACCCACACCGGAAGCGGAAGTGATAGAGGTAGCAGTACAGGTAGATGTTTTGGTACAGGTAGATGTAGTGACACAGGTAGAGTTCGGTCTTGGTCCAACCATTTGAAGTTAACGAAGACTAATAACAACTTCAAGCTAACGCGGCAAATGAGGTAAATAAGTCAGTTTATGCTGACGTTCTTGGTGTGAATGAGTGTCGGCTGTTCTCCAGTTGACGCAGTTGTAACACTGTAACATGCTGTTTGTTTGTTGTTAGCGTTTGTCTGAGGTTTGGTTGAATACGCAGGTTATGTTTGTATGTTAAAACATGTATTTGGTGTCATTTGATGCTATGTCCTGTGACGTACGAACTTTGTGATTGGTTTTTGCTGTTTTTATTTACATATTTTGGCATGCAAACTAATGAAATGGATCATAAATTCCAGTTCGTCACTGAAATGAGTTACATTTTCTTTTTTTTTCAATATAAATTCAACACTTTTTTTTTGGTAGAGCTTATTCACCCTACTGGCCTGGAGCAGTAACTACACCTTTAACAATAACAAAAACACAGTGAAATCAATTTTCTGAGACCATTTAAGCCGTGATACATTTATTGTTTATCTCTCTCTCTTGGTACACAGATGCAAAGCGAAAGGGTTTTCATCAAAACCAGTCAATGGCCAAACGACAGGAAGATAATGTTGAGGTTCAGAGGTAAGGTTCCAACATTTCTGGATAAAAAAAAGTTGGGATGAAATAATCCAAGATCTTACTGAAACTAAAACAGATCTTACCACAGCAGTAAGAAAAACAGCTTTGACTATTTCAGATGAGGGAGTTTTAGTAAACCAGCAGGTCATTGTTCAATAGGTGAGTAATGCTAAGAGAATGGTTTGAGAAATAGCATAAAAGTCAGTGTCAATATACAAAAATAACAAAGAATATTCAAAACACAAAGTGAGACAAATTGCGGTGGTGTCAAATGTGTCAACGGTCAAGAAGCTGGGAAATATTTTTATTTTTTTGTTGTGATGTCATTGATGATGTCATCAAGATCCATCCTGTAAGTCACAGTCATCTGGCTCAGTTTTAGGTTAGCATTCGTTCTGTCTAATTAAGAAAATGTTTTAACATCACACTATTCACAGTTTTTGTTTTGTACTTTTGTCTTTTTACTCCTTTTAAGAAAGCAGGACTTTTTTGCCTCATTAAAAAATTATTTGTGAAAAATGAATTATTTTACAAAAATGAAATTTTAAATACAGACAAAACTATAAATATATGATAACGAAACACAAAATAAATACATGTGATTGGTCTGAAGATATCAAGGTGATGTTTTAAACATTTGTTTGAAGCTTTCAGTAAAAAAATATGTGCTAAAATATGTGAAAATCTATAAAAAGCTTTTGTGTTAAGACATTTGCTGCATCCTGTAAATATATTGTGGAAAACCAAAAACTATATAAAAAATACACACATCTAATCAAAACTTTAAATCCAGCAAATGTGACAAATGTGTGCGAAGCCAAAGGTGCAGAGTGTGATTCTTTTAGACACATTTATTTACATGACAAAACAGTGGTTGAAAATTATTTGTGTAAAATCATAGACACCAAAGACAATGGACAAAGAATAAACAAAAACAGTACCGTTCCAGTAAAAGAGAGTCTGGTTGATCTTAAGAACAGGAGTAAAAAAAAAAAAAAAATCAAGGTCAGTATTTCCTGGCACCGCTTTTTGGTTCTGTCTCTCATTTTGTTGTCAATCCAGACTCTGTTGGGATGATCCCGTTTTGTTTTTTGCGGAGGCGGCCTGGGGAGGTTGGGAGTTCTGACAGCTGTCAGCACTGATTCTGACCAATCTCTTGGACCATGATGTTTATTTTTTCAAAAATGTAGAACAAAGCTGAGAGGTTAATGAACAATAGCTTAAGTCTAGCTTTCAGGTTAGAAGTACTAAGCCAAACAAAACTCCAAGTTCTTTTCTTCATCATTGAACAACCTTTTTTGGCAACTAATTCTGGGACTAGTATTGGAACTGGCTTAATCTTTGGTTTGCTTTCTGTGCCTGGTTCGGGTGCTCAGCAGCGTAAATATTGACGGTATGCCAGAACCTCTGCTTTCTGCTTTCGAAGTCCTGGATCCTCCCATGACAGTGATGAGGGACATGGAAAGTGGCCATGAGTGAGTTCCTGCTCTTCACCATTGGTCCAGCTGAAGGTCCACAGCCGTGTGCATGTTGGAGCCATCGTGGAACTCGTCATTGAAGATACTGGGAGAACCTGGTGGTGGAATGCTGAAGGCTGCAGCTGTGGGCGGCATCAGGTCCAACCACTCCATGGTCTCCCAGGGTGTCTCGCTAAAGGCCAGGTTCACCATCCCCGTCACCTCAGGGAAAGTTGAGGCCCTGCCACCGATGGGTGACAGAGTGCTGTCTGTGGGTTCTCTGCTGGTGTACAGTTTGTCTTGAGGGTTCTGGTTTTGGCTGTGTTGGTAGAGGTTTGGGGGACTGCTGTAACTGCTCTGGTCCTCACTGGATGTTCTGTGAAGAACTCCTTCTCCTCCACGGCTAAACTGACTTCCCAGAAGTGTCTCCATGTGACCCTCACTAATGTGACTGGTCAGGTGCTGGTACTGGTTGGGATAGAAAAGCTCATGATGATGACGATGGCACCTGGGGAGCAGGAGTCCAGGACAACCTGAGAACGGAGGTCAGGAGGGAACTGTTTGGTTAAATTGGAAACATCTGATTTTCTGTGGACTGTTGCAGAAAGTGGTCTGACTCACCCCCAGTCTCAAGGATAAGGTCCAGAAGTTCCTCCATCTGCTGACCTTTGCTCAGCTGCTGTGGATTCAAACACAAAATCGATAATGATTTAGTTTGGTAAAAAGGCAAGTTCATGAACCAGAAGAGGAAGAGGAGCTTGAGAGATGATGAAAGGTTCATGAAGAAAGCATCACAGAAAGTGGTGGATGTAATGTGTACAGATGAGACACATGTTCTGATGGGATCAGAGAATGGACCGTTACCTGTTTCATTGCCTCCTGGTAACAGGGAGGCTGTGGTTGCTCAGCCGGTTCCGTATTTAAACCAGTGAAGGATGATAGGGATGGTTTACTAGTGAGTTGTGGAGGAGACAGCAGGAAGGAGGTCTACAGGCAACATCAAGACAGGGATTAGTCTAAGGTAAGACCAAGTTTGGACCACCTATAGAGCAGGGCTTGACCAAAGTTAGACCAACAACATCTCCATCAAAACTGACTCCTTATCTCTTGCTCCTAACAAAGAAACTTCATCAGGAATGATGATCAGCTGTCCTTCATAGATCATGTTGCCTCTGTTGCCCGGTCGTGTCGTGTTTAAACATTTTAATATAAGAAAGATCAGGCCAAATCTAACCCAACAGACCACCCAGCTCCTGGTACAGACCATGGTCATCTTCCGCCTTGACTTCTCCAACTTGACTTGTGTTCACTGAGCTATCCTGGCTACCCATAGCTGCCCCTATCAAATTCAAATCACTTATGCTAGACTTACGCTGTACTTAATGTCCCTGGTCCAATCTTTGGGGTAACAAGGCTTACGTTACCCCACAACCACTCTGCTCAACTGGGGAACACGGTCTCCCAGTCCCAACATCTCGAAACTCATGCTCAGCTCTTCCCATGAATCGTTAAATTTATAAATGTGTGTGTAAATGTGTATATAAACAACATAACAAAACACCACAGCTGAAAAACACTAAATGTTGCAAAAAAACTAAATTCAGTTCAAAAAAAGCTTTTCTCACAGTTAACCTCACCATAAAGAATTAATTAAAAAATTAAAAAATGAACTGGATCTCAGAACCAAAGAGGTAGGTCAGGATCAGCCTGACATTAACATTAATTTTGTTTTGTTTTCCTCCGACTGACCTTTGACTGCTGGTCCTCGTTCTGGTCTTTGTTGGACCCTGCTTGGTTCAGTCCACAGTCACCTGAGTTTGTGGAACCTCCTGTATGGTCAGAAGAATAGGAGCAGGTTGGAGTCTGTCCACTGATCTTCTGCTGCACCTGTATATGGACCAAATATCTCAGATCTGGAGACAGGGGTTCAGTGAACCAAGTATCAGGTTCGAAAGACCCTTAAAGTTAGAGCGGTGTTTGGGTCCAGGCAGACACAAACCAGTTCTACTGTACTAAAGTCCATACAGAGCTCTGCTGAGCTGGACATGGTCTGGACCTGGTCGTTGTTTTGTCTTATTTTTTCCTACCTCCATGTTGTGTCCTCCGCTGTGTCCAGGACCCTGGTGTTGTCCACATCCATCCTTCCCCACTGTTGGGGGGGTCAGGTATGAGTTATGAGAGGGGGTTGAGGGCTGGGGACTAGTGCACGGTTTTTCATTGGGGGAGTCCCGAGGTGAGCACTGAGGGGTGAGGAAGGTTGAGACAGGGGTTTGGCTCTTGCAGCGCCCCCTGTCCTCTGGGCAGTTGCCTGTGGTGCATTTTAGACGTATGGGAGAAGACAGCGGACAGCAGGAGGAGAACGACATGGGTTCCTGTTTGACCGTCGCTCCGAAGAGATTCTGTCCCATCACTGAAGGGTGAAATGGGTGAGACTGAGGGGAGTTCTCCTGTGTTGCTGTGTAGCAGCGCTTCCTGCTGTGAAGCTGCAACTTTAGCTCCTCAACCTGCCACCCGTAGAAATGTAACAAATGTCACAAATGTAACAGAAATGTAATGTTTTGGAGAACTTAGCAGTTGTTTTTTTTCCTTTGGCTAAATGTTAGCTATCCTTTGGCAATATTAGAAGTATTTAGGCTTTGAATTTTTAGGCTATCGTTTTGAACTACGTATGTTCTACCCATTTTCAGGTTTCTTATTTTATGTGCTGTATTTTTGCTCTTGCTATATGAGCTTTTTCAGCTATTTTGTATTTATTCTGGGCCAACCTTTGGTGTTTTATCCCTGGGTCAGTTCAGGAGACCCTTCAACCAAGATTACTTTTTGCAAAATGTTTGGCCAATGTTTAGCAAAAATCTGACCAACGGTTGGTTCTTTTAAAAGTTCTTAAAACCAGAAATGGTAACAAACCCCAGAAAACGCCTCTCCAGGACCATCATCAAGCTCCGCATACCTGTCTCTGCTCCTGGTGAAGTTTCCAGGTCAGCTCCTCGATTACTTTTTGCTTCTCCACCAACATCTTGTCCTTTTCTCCATCTAGGCCATCAGAAGCTCCCTCCACACCACAATCCCCCGCCTTCTGTCCTCCATCCTCCTGGAGACTGGGCCGGCTCGGTGATACCTGGAGCCCAAATGTTGGTGAAGACACGTTGACGTCACTAAAGCTGTCAGGGAGGGATCCACTGAGGGACAGCTCCGACGAGGCTGGGGAGACGGGTGGGGAAGAGGAAGTGCTGGGATACTGATAGATCCCTCCCTGAGACGGAGCACCGGAGGAGGATGGAGACTGGTACGAAGATAAAGACCCAGCAGGTGTGACTGGGAATGTCACTGTGGTGATGTCAGAAGATCCTGAAGGGGAAGAGCTTGTAATGGACTCTTTAAAGGGACGGAGTCTCTCAATCAGAGCCATTTTGGTGCCTGAGACCGGCATTCCACGGACTCTCAGGTGCTGCCTGAGCTCTGAAACCTGAGGAAGCAAAGGCTCAGGACTGAGTTTGGGGCCAGAAAAACGATGGTCCTGATTTTATCTCCTCATCACCTACCTTCAGGTCGTCCAGGTTTGTTGGCAGAGGTGCAGGTTTGCCTGCTGAGATGTTGCCCTGGTTCGGAAATGTGCTTTTGACTGGAGAAGAAGACTCATTCGTGGTACTGGATGGACTACCTGAACCACAGGCAGAGATGGAATCACTGGACCTTCTATGAAGACACAAGTGACAGGAACAAGAAGTAGCAGGTACCTTTGTGTTTACTACAAATATATGTATCAGAGCAGGCATGAGCAAACTAAGGCCCGGCGGCTGGATGCAACCGCCAAACTTTTCCAAATTATATAATTTATTCATATTATAATTATACTTCTGCCTTTACCCTGCAATACCCACATTTCCCCAATAGATGGTGTAGAAAATGATTTTCTTTGTAGAAGCATTTAAACATTTTAGCCTTTATGTATGACTTTTTCATTTTATTTATATTAGTTCAAACTAACGCTCCATCTATCTGCTCCTGACCCCCCTGTATAATTTTAGGACAATATTGGCCCGACAGTTTGCCCACACCTGCACTAGAAATTAAAAAGGATTTTTTTGGTCTTGGATTCTGCCTCAAAACAGACTATTTGACTATTTGCCCAAAAAGTCAGTCCAAAGTTGAAGTTAACTGGTAGTGGCTACATAGGGGACTCACCTGTGAGTGTGTATCGATGGCCGTGGGTGGTAACTAAAGGTGGGCTGTCTCTGCTGTTGCTGCTGCTGCTGTTGCTGCTGTTGTTGCTGCTGCTGCTGCTGCTGCTGCTGCTGCTGCGAGTGTTTCTGCTGACTCAGGATCTGCAGCTGTAAAAACAGTTGCTGCTGCTGAAGGAGTCGGGCGTAGGCCGAGTCCATTGGTGGAGGAGACTTCTCAGTCTTCTGGTCTGGAGGGATGTACTGGTGGTACTTTAGCTTCCTCACCTTTGGCTTCATGTCTTTAGGTTTCTTTGCCCTGTTCTTGTCATTGGTCTTGGACTGTTGATAGCAGAACCAGGGTAACAATGTAACAGAACAGTAACAGAACCAAAGGTTTATGAGTTGGATGGAGATTCATTCTCTCACCTTGACAATGGCAGGGACAGAAATGAGTGCACTCATCAGGCTGGTGTTGGTTTTGTGCAGTCCGCCATCCTTGTTCTGTTCTTCAGGGTTTCTACTTTTCTATTCTCACACAAAACAAGATATGTTTTTAAATATTTGCTGTCAGAGCGAGAGAGCAGTTCCCTGAGCTGCCACATGAGGGCTGCAGAGCTCCAGTTCGGGACTCGCTTTACCTGTTGCGGAGCACAGAGGGTGGGTGAGGAGGACGTGCAGGTGCGGCTGCCTACAGCATCACATAACGGACCGGCCAAGTTCTGAGACTCAGTAATGTGGTTCTGGTCTGGAGATAAGCTCTCGCTGCTGCTGTCACTGCTGCTGCTGCTGCTGTCTTCCTCAAAGGTGTACGAGTTCTCCTGCTTCAGGAGTTTCCCATGGTTGACTGTGTAGAGAGGAGACAGAGGGATGGGCAGCAGAGGATGTCAAAGAGCTGCTACACAAGAAACTTGAACGTGACATGAGCACTTTTATTCGATCACTATAGCATGTTGGACAGTTTGTTGGACAGTTGTAATGGGTCAGAATGTCAGGGACCTTGGCCAAGGTCACTTCACCTCCCGGCCTGGCCCGGCCCATTAATGTCCTGCTACAACAAAGAAAGAACTGTAGTGAATGTACAGTGTGTTCTGTAGAGTTCTGTAGGTGGTATAGGTAGTTAAACACAAATGTAGTCAACTTGTGTGTGTGTGTGTGTGTGCGTGTGAGAGTGTGTGTCTGTGTTAGTGACTCCTGGCTCCACATCTGTGTGAGGAGGTGAAACTCTTTCGATCATGAACTCAGATCCACAAACACTTTCACACCCACTGCTGATTGGCTGAGGAGATACCGAACATGGCTGTGATTGGGGGAGCTGAGAGCAGTTATCTAAAAGAGTCACTAGTGTATGTGTGAGGGTCTGTGTGTGTGTGTATCAAAACATATGACAGCAGGAACAGAGGCTGGTTTCAATCACAGCAGCAGGTTGGCTACACGTGCATTAAACTGTGAGTGACCTCACACATACACACACATACACACATACTATATAACAGCTGATCTATATATATGTATGTATATATGTACATATATAACAGCTGATATCTCTCTCTATATATATATATACAGTATATACATTTTCAGTTTGTAGTTTTTTGGTCATTTTTCATGACTATATGCAGCACTGTGAGGTCACTATGGAAGAACATACTGAAGCGTGTCTGTACTTCAGTACTATGACATCACTGTGTACATCAGTACTATGACATCACTGTGTACATCAGTACTATGACATCAGTCTATACATCAGTACTATGACAAATTAATAAAGTTAATAAATGTTAATGCCACTTCCTTTAAAGGAAGCAACAGTAGCTTTTTCAGAGGAACATAGACACACCAGGTGGCAGAGGTACAACTCAGATCTGCTGGTAAAGGCCAAAGAAGAAGAGAGGCTGAGGTTGTTAGGCGGTGTTGTTGTTTTTATTTCCTCTGTCCAGGTAACGGTCACTAACCAGTCTAAATGTTTCCTCTTTTTCTTACGTAAAACCCGACTAAGTTGAGCTGCGCCCTGCTGACTGTGGTGATGGGTTAAAAGCAGAGGTCACATTTGGCTGTGTGCAGTGGTGTATGTTGTCACAAGGACAAGTAGTTCACTTTCACTTTATCTTAATGATTAAATTCTGACCCAGTTTGACAGGATTAGATGGTTATAATGTAAAACAATGGGCCAGTAAATGTGAGACATGGACCAGGGCTTCAAATGTACATGAGCACCATCACCATCAGCACCAAACTATCAACCAATCCAAACTAGATATCCATAAAGGTCACCTGACCAACGGCACATGAATATAGAGTTTCTATGAATGATCTATTGTTGTGAAAAAGGCTGTGCTCCATCACTCAGTCAGAAATTTGGTTCTGTGTGAGCTGTATCCCACAGATCAGGACTGATTAGTAATAGATGTGGATGTAGTCAAACAAAGAAGAAGAAAGCTGAGTCAGCAGAGCTGTGCGACATGATCTACAACACCAGGCCACATCCTCATCACAGTGTCTGCGAAAATCTGTAAAACCTGAACATCTGAAAGCTTTAGCCCCACAAGCTCCACCCCCCGGGGTGTAATGTGATACTGTGAGTGTGAGGTCACTGACGGACTGTAAACAATCTTCTTTAAACAACGACTCTTTAAAACTGTTGCTAAACGTATATAAACGTAGAGGTGGACATGAACCTGCAGACTGTGGCTCAGACGTAAACACTGAGACGGAGAGTCCAGACGTCCAGAGCATTAGGAAGAAATATTTCCTTTGTTTTTCCATCAACTCAGGATTAAAGAGCTCCCAAAATGGGAATGGGCCCCGTAAAACCTGCAGCTTTTATCTTTATGAGGAAAAAACGTAACGTTAAAAAAAAGATGGAAAAAGAAAAAAAAGGAGTTGGTGTATAATTTTGGATGTGGGTGTCTTCCATCCACCTGACTACCACTCACTCTGACTGCACTGAACCTCAGAGGGACGAGCAGTGATTTGAACTCACAGTTGCTGTCGCATTGTGTGTGTATGTGTGTGCGTGAGTGTGTGCGTTGTGAGGTATGGGGGAGATGAAGTTGTATGAGACAAACACACACACACACACACACACAAATTCTCAACCATACACCACTGGTGACGTGTCCTGCTGTTGGGTAGAATCTGATTTGATTGGTTCAGATCTTCAGCTGCTCGTCAGAGAACGAGAAATGGAACTGGTCCCAAGTGTGTTTGAGCAAACACCAGCCTGAAGTCATTGTATCTGAGTCACAGCTTGGAATCAGCAGATAAACAACCATCAGAAAGTTTAAAAAAAAGGGCATCAGCCAATCACGTTCCTGTTCGCCGCCTTATCTGAGACAGACTCCCAGGACGTGATATCAGCCTGGTCCTGGGGTCGAGTCCCTGGACCTGGATTCCAGCTCTTTATCTGGAGCCTGGAGCCGCAGTACAAATGATGCCAGAGACAATTTCACTGTTTCCTACGCTGCTTAAACATATCCTTGGGGAATAGGTTTTTTTTTCTTCCAGCATAAGAAAAAAATAAATCGGAGAAAATCTGTCAGGATGCCACAGCAGATCAAATTCAATCGACTTTACACGTTTATGAGGTCACATGTCACTAGAACACTTATCGGATCTCAGGTTTTTTTGTTGACTTTCAAATTAGACACATCATGCTAACATTCTATCTTCTAGTACACTACTAACCTACTGCTAGCACTTACCTAATCACACAATACACAGGAGCAACACAAACACAGGCCTATAATCTGCTACCGTTAATTTAAACAAAGTGTAAAAGTGACCAAGTTTACAGGATTAGACTGAAATGTAAAAATGCACCAGTGTATATGAGTCATGCTACACGGCCTTCAAATGTGTACTTAGTGCCACCTACAGGCCAGGGAGCTACATGTTCAATTCAAATAATAATAATAATAATAATAATAATAATAATAATAATAATAATAAACTGCAGACTGTAACTTTAATTTCAGGATTGATTTAACTTTTTCTCTTGGTAAACAACATGTGTTTCTCTGTTGTTTTGTTGTTTTTTTGGGTGTGTTGCAGCTCTGAAGAGTCTCTGCAGTAAACAGGTAGACGTTCTGTAAACCTAAAGGAGAACTTCCTCCAGCAGCAGAACATAACACTTAGGTCAGTCACCTTCTTCTTCTTCTTTGGCTTCTTTTCCAACTTCCTCCTCTACACAAACTCCCCTTTGATCTTTAATCAATGTTTTGATTCATATTTAGCTTGAACTCAGATGAGCTAACAGCTAACACCAAATGCTAGGGCTGCTTAACTATGGCAAAAACCATAATTAAGATTATTTTGATTCATTTTAAAAGATTTCAGTTTTTCAAAACGATTATTCATTGACTTGAAAATGAGCTTTTATTGAACTGAAGTTGACAAAAAACAGAGTAAAAAAATATAAAATAAAATGATATTGTAACATGTTGGGGGCAGGGAGGGTGTAGTTATGTTGTATGTTATTGCTAATATTTTTCTAGTTAAATAGTTTTGTGTTGTGCTGTTTACTGCATTTTCCTGGGTGCCTTGAATGCACCATTAGGTTCTGTTGGAGCCGATGTTTTGTCGGAGCACCTACGGAGATTTCTGAGCAGCCACGTGTGCCAGCTTACACTTGTCACTGATTTGCTGATGACCACTCTCCTGCTACCTATTAACGCATTGCATTGTGCAGACAGATAAACCCCTGAAAAAGCTGGGCGGCAACGATACGGTTACAGTGATGTGTTCGATCCAGGCTGTGGTGTTGAATTATAGATTTTGTTTTTCCTTTGTCTTCATTGGTCACATTGACTTTAGACTATGCCATACCAGTTAAAGAGAGAGAGTGAGAAAGGGTGTGTGTGTGTGTGTGTGTGTGTCCACAAACGAATCATAATCAACGATCAGTTTTCTACTGGCAGAATCAGCCAATCACAGCAGGACTTAGAGGCAAATACATACTGATCCTATCAAGAGAGAGAGAGTGTGCGTGTGCGTGTGTGTCACTCACATGGCATGATTCCTAGGTCGTCCTTCTGTCCTCTCGTCCTCTGCTGAAGTCTTAGCTGTAGAACTAAAGAAGAAAAGAACTGTGAAGGAAAAGGCATGAAAACCAAAATAGGTCTGAACAGATGAGGACAGGTGTGATCAATCTTTTTGTTCACTGGACAAAATGAAAACTTCATATCATGACAACCTGACTGAAAAACTAAATTTCATCCAATCAAACCTGAATTGGATCTCGTGTCAAGAACTCGATTGTTCTTTAGTCGGTAGTGAAGTTTAAATTTTCTATTGAAAATATGGCTTTAACCCATCACCTTAGTGAGCAGGCGGCACTTAACTTTTACCACTGCCCCGCTATATCGGTACCGGTTGATACTGGAATTGGAAATTAAGTGTAACAATATCGGCATATCGCTATCGGCAAAAAGTTAATATCGGACATTCCTAATTGTAACTTATGAGAAGAAGGAGGCGAAGGAGTCGAAAAAAGAGGAAGAGACAAAGGACAGGAGTCGAAGGAAAAGGAGTGGGGGGGGGGTAAACTCTCTTCTTCACAAACATGTCAGAACAGGACGCAGAGTCTGATAAACAGATCTGCACTGCAGTGTGTGGTCCTCACACTTACTCTGTGTGTGTATGTGTGTGTGTGTGGGCACGTGGCTGAGGTGGGAGTGCAGACTCATAAACACTGACCCTCCTCCTCTTCTTCTCCGCCTGTGGACTTCTACTATTCATTTCTTGTTTCTTTTAAAGAAAAATACCCCCCCACACCTCCCTTCTCTCCTCCTTACTGCTTCCCCTGCGCCTTGTCTCTAGACCAGTGGGTCTCATTTATTTTCTGTCATGCACCCCTCCCCCTTTGGGGACAGAAATGTTTTCACGTCCCCGACCCCACTTCGACCCACACCCCCACGAATTGGAATACTACTGAGAACCTGATAACATGTATATTTTTATCTGTACAAACCGCTGTGTAAGTTGCTGCCCCCTAGTGACTGGAGGCTTGTTATCATTCAAGTATTACAGCAGTGGTATACTTATGTCCAGCCTGCCGTATTCCGTTGGAAGCTCCTCACATCGGCACCTCACCACGCCAACCAAGGGGGGCCCGCCCCACTATTTGAGAAGTACTGCTCTAGACTGAGAGACTCAGGGAGAAACACAATCTGTCCAAGAAAGGTTTGGACTTCAAATTGTCCCAGCAGGTTTCTAGAAGACAAACACAACGAGGGGGGCCCGCCCCCACTCTGTCTTCGTCACTCTGTCTTCATCACTCTGTCTTCATCACACTGTCTTCATCACATGCAATAGCTTTTTAAAAAAACAATATTTATTTAAGCATCAGCCCCTACATCTGCTGCCGCAACAGTCAAGGAGGTCATGACCTTCAGGTCACAGAGAGAAATCTGAAAATGATCTTGACCCCTTTCTAGGAATTTGGTCTTACTGTATTTCCAAATTAGATGATAAGAAGAAGGAATAGAAAAAGAATAAGAAGGTGGAGGGGAAGGAGAAGCTGACAGTATTCATGAATGAAAACTTGTTCCATGTACAAAACGACTCTGACCTGTGGAGTCAAGTTTGATTATATGTGAACCATAGGCTGCTGATCTACATTAACGATTGTTGGCGTCCCACGCCGAAGACCCCAAAGATGACGCTGTAGTGTGAACTACAGATGGACAGATTTAATGAAGGAAAAAGGAAGTTGACGTCAACCAAGGATAATCTATTATAAAAAGAGAAGAAGAAACTGTAGCTCAACTAAAAGCCCCAGTGTTCTGGTCAAAGCTGATTATTGATCTATGGTACCAATAGAACCGATGGTACCTAGGCTCCATGTGCTTTTCTTTAGCTTCAGAACGTCAGACTGTCAACTTCTACGTCCACAGCAGGTGTAGTGTGAAGAAAATGATGGTGTGAATGTCTCAGTGGTGGCCATCTGTCATGGCCCTGTGCAGGCACAGTCAGTACAGTAGGTGGTGCTAGCACAGCCACGTCAGAACCTAATGGAAACAGGAAGACTAATCAAAAAGTCTTGAGGCCAGAACCTTCAGCTGTCATCACCAGGAACAGGAACCAGAGAACATCAGTTCCATGGCTCCAACAATGTTGAGCAGAATAGGACTAGCAGCAGGCTGAAGAACTCAGAACCCAGTAGATGCTGCTCCAGCTCCTGCTGATGTCACTTCAGTTTTTTTCACACCCACAGATTTACAGTTGACGTCTCTGGGTTCCACTCATGTGTTCATTAATCTCAAGGCTGAAACATGGATCAGAACCCAGGAAGAACAACATCAAGGCGTTTGTCGCAGCAGGTTCATTACCTTCTGAACATCTGTGTCCAACTAAACTCCTCCACCATATTAGTGAGGAACTGTTTCACCTCAGCACTGATTTATCACTGTTTTAGTTTGTCCTACAACCCAGCAGTGGGCCAGAAGGTTCTGTGTCCTTGTGAGCAAAAAAAAAAAAAATCTTTTGATCATGTCTGTGATGATTCCGCTCCCAAAAAGGTAAACATGTTTCTTCTTCAGAGAAAAACCTCTTCAGGAGCTCAGGATTTACAGATGTTCTGACAGATAGGGGTCTGACAGATAGGGGGCGGTGTTGGGTATAAAAAACTGTGTTTATGTATAGAAATCACACACACACACACACACAGGTTCTGCTGCTCTGCTTCAAACTAAACCTGTTTCTTTTGTTCTGGATGATGAAGAACCTCATGTCATATCAGACCTGACCTCCAGGAGGTTTGAACATCTTCAGAACTCACATCCATTAACTTCTGGACCTTCCTAAACCTTGACATAAACAAAAATCTCCCCTGACCTGTTCTCCTCACCCTTCACCTCCTGCTTCTGCAGAAGTCTAGTCACATCACACACGTTTCACTTCAGCTAAGCCCTGATGACCTCTGAACCTGCTCCTGCAGATAAGCTGCTCCGTATGAACCTTATCAACCAGACCTGGGTCTGCTGTGTGGTTGGAACAAGTGCATTTAACCTGTTGTTGAGAAGATTCAAGAGGAGAAGGTGAAGATCAGAGCTTCTACTAGCTTCTACTAATGCCTGGAACACAGTGATGGTTAGGAGTTCCTTACCCGATCTGAACCTGCTTCGTATCAGTACAGAGTCTTCAGATCCCAGGAGAGTCATAATGGTCTAAAGTCCAGGTCTGGTCCTCAGAATTCCCAGAACGAAGGCACTGGTACGGTGTGTCCCAGCCTTGTGTGGACACCAGGCTGAACTGAGAAGAATCTGCTTCATCCACACACCTGGAAAAGGTTGAAGTATGAGAAGAACATCAGGGTTGGACCAGAAGATCACAGAGGTCTTCTGGTCAAGGACCTTCAAGTCTGGTACAGGTTCTGGTTCTTCTGTAGTCTTAGTGTTTAATTGTGCAGCTGTGGTCCCTGCAGACTGAGAGATCTGAGCTGATCAAGGACTGAACACAGGGATAAGCTCTCAGAGGGGCGGAGTTAAACCGGTCAGGGTTTTCCTCAAGCCCTTCCCAATCAGGGAGTGGACTGGGATAAGGAGTCAGACCAGCGTTGACAGCAGGATAAAAATATCAGCCAATCACAGCTGCTGGGTCTGAGGCAGGAGGAAGAGGAGATGATACAATATGAAATGAATGACAAGCTCCAAGAAAACAAAGATGAAGGTGACGTTCAAATCAAACTGTCCTGCCGCAGGTCCACGTCCTGCCGCAGGTCCACATACTGCCATCTGTCCAAGTCCTGCTGCTGGTCTGTGTCCTGGTGCAGGTGCACATCATCCTGCTGCTAATTTAAAGAAGTGATTGACAGATTGACAGACAGACTTCCTGCAGAGTCACTGAGTTTTGACTTTTGTCCTCCTTGAATTAGAAATATTCACACACTACCACCTGGTATCTGAGTTTGTGTGTTTGTGTGTGTGTGTGTGTGTGTGTTTTACTTGATGATCTTCCTCTCTTCAGATTTCTAGTCCTGTTAAACATCTGCAGTCTGAAGGACCACTGACTTCAGAGTCTGTGGTTCTGGTCCTCTGGCTGAAAGACAGGGTTCTGACTATTTGAGCTCCATCATCTGACAGGTGACATCATCCATAATGTGACGTTCAGTAACAGTGGTGATGGAGCAGCGTTATTATTATATCATATGACAGTCAACTGCTCACTGACTAGAGTTAAAACCCACTTCTTCTAAAGAAGTGATGGAGGAAAGGAGGAGATCAGCAGTAACAGCAGCAGCAGCAGGGTGCCATTAACTTCACTCCACTTTTGGACACAAGGGTCCAAGAACGTGTCTGCCGCCGGGCTGGGAATGTCATGGCTCCTCTGTAGAATTTTAAACCACAACAAGAGTGTGGGGGGAGGAGAAGGAACTCCAGGGGGAGAACATGTTCTGTGTTTTCCTGCTTGTTTAGATTTTATTGATGGACTTTGCCTCCACTGCAGTCTGGAGGTTCTGGCCTGGGCCCATAGTGACGGCAGCAGCCACAACAAATATCAGTCGTTTGACCAGACCAAGTCAGAACCAGGGAGTTCCTACAACCCACGAGTAAAATAAGTGTACGCCATGCTGCAGGTCCACTCAGCTGTGGCTACGTCACAGCAGCAGCAGTAACAGCAGCAACAGCAAAAGCAGGAAAGCCGACAAAATTGAAGAAGGAAAAAGGAACTGATGACAAATGAAGTTGGAGCGCTGGTGGGAGGATGGGGGGTGTCAACTAACAGCTAAGAGCTCATTCAAATTTGACAGAATGGTCCTTTATTGAATACATTTCAGATGCTGCTGTTTGGTTCTGTGAGTCTGTTGTCATTTTCTGGGATTTGAACTAGCAACCCTTCTCTGAGCCTGTGTCTGTGGTTTTAACTCGTGTCTGTGCTGTTTGTTCACAGCTGTGTGTGATCAGACCGTCTACGGTCAGAGTGTGAGCACAACACCCTGTATGGTTCCGCTCTGTTCCTCTGGTACCGATGATTTTAAATGTCACACAGATTGGGCGATGAAAGCTGAATAATTTACACCTCTGTGTTTCAACGCGGTCGGTTGTGGAATCAGATTCTGGTCCAGATTAGGTGTCTGAAGAACTGAGACTGGATTCACCTGCATTTCACTCCTGCACTCAGTCCAGTGTGAAGACAGTTGACAGCAAAACCAGACTCAGATCCAGATTCTAAGAGTTCTGAACATACTGAGAGTTCTGAGCCTGGACGTGGTGTCACGGTGACCAGAGGTGTCACTTTGTGCTCCTACTCCTCCTTCTCCTCTCTCCTCCTCCCCTTCCTGCTGTTCCTTCTAATGCTCATGTCCTCAACCATGTCATCGGCAGCTCATCTGTCCAGAGGTGGACTAGAACCATGGACTATGAAGGTCACTCCCCCCCCCCCCTCCCCCTCCACCCCAGCTCTCCTGGTGATTGTGACTGACGACTGGGAACACCTGGATCATCGTCCAAGTTCACTGATGTCCTGGACCTGGAGAATGGGGCAGACTGAGAGGAGAAACCTCAGAACTTTTGTCTTCACACTGATTAAAAAAGACAAATCCTGGACACTCTTATCGTTCCTGTCTGTCAGAGACAGGAACACTGTTGTCCTCTGGGGAATTCTGTCTGGAATTCTCTGGAGATCCGGCTGCTGGCTCAAACTCTGCAGGTCAGAGATTAGAACATGTCACCCTTCACTGTCCACGCGCTGAAAAGAGGATGCGAGGATGACATAGTGGAGGAGGTCAGAGGTCAACTGTTTCAGCTGAAAATAGCCAGCAGGGGGCATTGGCTAGAGCTTTCTTTCATGGCTGTTACTGTCGTTCTTCAGACCCTACCTAGAGGTTTTTATCTACAATTCTTGCTCTAATCGGTACCAGGTGCTTGTGTTCTCACACACATGTGGTTCCAACTATGCTGTGTTTTCAGAAATGCAAATACCTGTGATTGTGAGTGGTAAAACCGTAAAATTAGTTTTTATGATTCATGGTGGGGGGGGGGGGGGGGGGGGGGGAGGGAGAGAGAGAGGTGGATTTAGTGTTCCATCAACTTGACAAAGTATGTATACACATACATACGTGTATGTGTATACATGTATGTATATATATATGTATATATTTATATATGTATGCACATTAATATGTACGGCAGCCCTTCACTTTCACACTTTCAGAGGAATTGTGGGTAATCCTTGGGTCACAATGGCTCAGTGTCAGAACACGCCATCGTTCAAGGATCTAAAAATAAAGCGGTGGATGCAATGACCTCATCTTTTCCGTTGTTTTAAGGCAGAGATAATCCTGAGGAGACCAATCCTCCGCTGCTCCGCCGACAAACATGTCCAACATGAAAGACAGCGGTGCTGAAAGCGTAACTTTAGCTGAATTTAAAGAAAATGTAATTTAAGCAGAACACAGAAGCAGAGAAAAGTTCTAAACCCAATGTTAGGAAAGGTTCCTGAACAGGAAGTTCTTACATGGCACTATCACTACGCTCCAATAGGAGGGACTGTTGGTCACATGGTGTTGACTTTCTCTGCCAACGCCACAGCACACCTACTGTAGGTAAAGGGGAATTATTCTGGTATTTTCTGTTTGAAGTCTAATTCTGTCAACGGGTTCCAAACTATTGGATTATCACCGAGGAATAAAGAAAATATTTAGGATCCGTAGTAACTGTCCGCTAGAGGCATACAAATTAAAGACCCTTAGCAAATGGTATGTTAGCAGCATGCTAGCGCCAAAGTCACACTGGTAGCTTAACAAGCCAGTGTGTGTGATGGAGGACAGAATCCCAACACACCAACCACCAACAAAGTCTGGCCCTGGACCTGAACCTGAACCAGGACCTGGAGCCAGTCCTGGATTTATATGAGCTCAGAGTTTTAACTGTACATTCCAGGAAGGTGAACCAGACTTGGCTCCAGTCTGTAAATATTTAAAAATAAAAACCCAGCGTCCAGTCAACATAGCGGTTGGCAGCAGCTGAAACGCCATGTTTGTTTCTGATCATGGGCTCAGAACCTGAGCAGAAGCTTTCACAGAGATCAAACTGCAGCAGAAAATATGAAAACAATTATTGGCTGCAGTTTGATAAATCTGAGACCTCAGAACTACTGGATCCATCACCGCGGAGGTTCTGATCCTTCTGCTCTGTGTTCGGATGATGGATGAACATGTGATTAATTTCATGGAAAAAAAATCACCTACTGCTGAAAAGCATTCTGGTTCTGGTTTTGATTCTGAAGACGAGGATGTTTGTAGAGCAGGAGGTTCTGAACAGACAGAATCGGTCATCAAGTGATTTAATGCAGAGCAGAAAGTTCTGAGGGATGATGGGAAATTCTGTCCAGTTGAAGTTGATGAGAACGAAGAATAAATTCTTGAATAAAATTGAATGTCCTTTGTTTTTAAGGCGCTTCTGGGTGAATTATGGGTAAAAAGTTTACATCGTATAAGTAACAGGCTTTAGTGCTCTTTATTAGAATGATTAGTTATGCTGTAACATACATTGTTAGTTTCATTAGCGCCTCCTGAAGTCAGTTTAACATCCCCTCGTCATAACAACACAGCTTTGGTATTTCTGGCTGGACCGTCCTCAATTCAGAGGTTTATCCTAGTGGCCACAATGAGATGCGCAGTCTGTTTGAACACAGTCATGTTTCATTTGAATCACAGGAATTTTTGTCAGCAGACCTCGGCTCATTTCCCTGATTAGACTTTCATTATGTGATTGGCTTCAAATTTGTAGTTTCAAGGAGCATAAAATTAGACTAGAGGTGAGAGGAAGCTGCTGCTGCTGCTGCTGTTACTGCTGCTGCTGCTGTTACTGCTGCTGTTACTGCTGCTGCTGTCGCTGTTGCTGTTGCTGTTACTATTGCTGTTGCTGTTACTGCTGCTGCTGTCACTGTCACTGTCGCTGTTGCTATTGATGTTGCTATTGCTGTTGCTGTTACTGCTGCTGTTGTTACTACTGACTTTTCTCTGATCGTCCAGAACCAGGTTGACTGTTTGTGAGGCAGCAGATTTGTTTGTTTAAAGCAGTTATTCACTTTATTCTGTGGTGAATCTGGTCTGTAATGATGATGATGATGATGTTTGTGGTGAGAGTGGTAACAGTGATGATGAGAACCTTTGTTCCGGTGTTTGGTGGTAATTTCCTGTTTTCGTGTGTTCTCTGGGAGATGGTGTCCACTAAAAACACAGTTTTAAATCCCAGAATTCCTGGGATTCTTTCAGCTTCAGCTTCAGTTTGATGTTGGTGAAGTTAAATCCTGCAGTGAGGCTGAACAGCCTCAGATTCATCATTTCTCATGTTTGTTCTGGACATGTGACTCACATTTTTCACCTCCTCGCCTGCTCTCGGGACACACAGGCTTCTTTAGCTTTAGCTTCTGGTTCAGTTTCTAACATGTTGCTGTTTGTGTTTGAAACCACGGAGAAAAAGCCGTCTTCACCTTTCACTTTCTCCAATCTGTGTCAACACTAGAAGGTACAGTTGGGGTTGGGGTTTGGGTTCTTCACAGCACTGGGTCTGATCCATGAGTACAGATTTGAACTCCTTGTCATGTCAAAAACCAAGGAGCAGTGTGTGGGGACGGTGCCACGCTCAGAGCACCTCAGTGGTAACTTGGCAGCTAGTGGACTCGAACCCGAAACCTTCTGGACCCAAGTCCGTTTCCTTAACCGCCCATCCACCACTGCCCCAAGTCAACAGGTATCCATCCAGAATCAACAAACTAGCTGTTTAAGTCTCCAAAAAACTTAAAACCCTGAGATTAAAACTTCCTCAAGTCAAACTGCTCTTAACTCGCAGTTAGCCACACCTGGTGAAGCCAAACTCACCCGTGCACGCTCACGGATTTGTGCACGCTCCCTGACACTGCATCTGCTCAGGCTGTAATCTGGACACACACATTGTAAGAGCAGGGGCCGATGTGAGACACACTGCACATTAACATCAGATAGAAAGGACTAATGAGGACCAGAACAACAGCAGCTGTAAATCTGAGTCTGTGAAAAGGTCTGGAGAAGACCAGGCTCCTTCATGGGGACCAGGAGGAACCACTTTAATGAAGGCTTAACTGATGGGCTCAGATCAGCAGCCCACCCACAGACGGATGAGACCTGACGCCCCCCACCCCACCCCACCTCCCCCTGAACAGACAGCGAGAGAGAGAGTGAAGGAGAAGGAGACAGAGAGAAGGAGACAGAGAGAGGAGGAAAAGCCAAATCAGATGTAAAAAAAAAACAACAACTTTTGGTCACTTGGTCAAAGTGAATATTCAGTTTCTTCTCTCACTCTCTTTGTTCAGTTTTGGAGGATTACAGATTAGGATTAAAATGTGTCAGATTAAAGGTGAATAACACAAAGTAGAAAATAGAATGAAAAAAGCTAAAGTTTAACAGAAATAGTCGATCATTTGATAAAAGAATGGTAAAGAAAGAGTCCAAGTTTATCTGATAGACAGAAGGAGGTTTGCCTCAGTGGACGTTCATTCAGCAATGGTCAAATGACCAGTCTACTTCAAGTTCAAATATAGTTTTGAAAATATTGAACTCACTCTGAACACTGAACTCAACTTAAGAATGAAATAACAAAAGAAAAGAAACCATGGACCTGCTCTTGTTTGATGAAGTCTGGGAGCTATTGGACTGAAACCTGGTCAGAACTGAGGCTGGACCAGAACCTAGACTCAGATGGTTCAGCTCTTAGTCAAACATAAACAAACAGATAAAAGAAATAGTTGTCGTTGATTAAATCAGCTGAAGAAAAACAACCATTTTTTTTATCTGCTCCTTCAGTTAATAAGTGACAGATGGAGAAGGAGGAGGGCTGTGTGGAGGAGTCGACTCCCTCACTGACCGTCCACTGTATCACCTTTAATCTTTACAACCAGTCAGTGATGTCACACTTAGAGAAGCCACTTTGTGGGTGGAGTCAGTAATGAAGTGACAGGAAACAACAAACAACAGCAGGCGCAGTGACCTTCTTTGTTCTGGTCTCTCATCCATCGGGTCAGGAAGGAAAAAGTCATTTTCTCTCTGGACGTTGGTTGGTTGAAATAACTATCTAGTCACTGAGTGGTCACCCTGTGGAAACTGCATCGGTTGACAACAGAACCCTGCTCTGGATTCTGGAGAACTGTGACTCTTGGCTGTAAATATGTTCTGATCCAACCCACAGTCCCCTTGGTTGAAGGTCTGGTTCAGACTCATGTTCTGCTCTGTTGTGGTCTGGTTCTAGACTGGTTTTGTTCTGGTTCAGCTCTGATTGGGCCCAGTCTTGTTCTTGTCTGGTATTGTTCCACTTCTGTTCTGTTCTGTTCTGGCCTGGTTCTGCTGTAGAACACACTCACTGTTGCTGCTGCAGTGGTCACAGTGGATGATGAGCAGTGTGTTAAACACTGACAAGTGTGTGTTTGATCTAAATGCATATGCTCAGATAAACACACACTGCTAGTGTGTGTGGGTGTGTGTGTGTGGGTCTGGTTGGGCTGGCACAGATACACATGCACACACACAAACTGTGTGTGTTTTAAAGCTCTGGAAAGTTTATACAGAAATATCTTCTGTTACCTTTTGGTCTGACAGGTTTGCATTCAACTCAGCAGCAGCAACAGCAGTAACAGTAGCAACAGCAGCAGCAGCAGCAACAGCAGCAGCAGTAGCAGCAGCAGCAGCAGCAGTTTTGTTATTCACCCATTCATTTTCTGTTTCATTCAGACATTCATTCTGTTTTTTTGCCAGGGATTTATCAGAAAGAAATCGAACCTCAAACTTATATGATTGTCCAAAGGCAACTGCTTTGCCCACTGATCCACAGTGACCTTTTGATTGATCAATTGCCGCCTCCATAACTAAGTTCAAATGTGTTCACGCATTCTTACTGTGAAGTTTGGTGTGGCTCAAAGTGAGGTTCCGACAGTATGAACAGGACAGACGCTGACGGCACGTCTGCTGAGTTGTTTTTAACTGTGCGACGATGTCAGTGAGCTCAGGGTCACATGATAGCGTTTTGGTACGTGGAGTGACTCACCGGGGTCACTATTTTTTATTGCAGGTTAAAAAGTAAAACTTTTGGTCCAGTAGTGAGTGAATCAGCGCTGTCTCCTGTGTTGTCTTTACTAAAGAAAAATTGTGAAGAGCAACGAGGCATGAACTGTGAGAGACTCCAGGAATCCAAAGCACATGAAGAAAACAGGGAGCGAAGGCAGTGAGTCAGAATACAGTTGTGTTGTTACACAGACTCATTTTCATCAGCTGAGGTTACAGCTATTCAAGGAACAGACTGGTCATTTTTATCTGACCGTAAGAGTGTTATATGCTAAAACCTGATGATTATGTCACACTCAGATCTAATGGAGAAAAGCAGAGGTTTAAGTTGACATAACTACAGGAGACGCTAGTCCACCTCTGTCTGCTGTGGTCTGTTAGTGACAGTGAGGCCAATTAGTCAATCTTAAAATATTAAAGGGTATTTCAGAAATGGCATTCGTTGGGGTTGAGATGTTTTACTGCCATTTTGTTCTGGCTCTGGTTCTAGTTTTGGACTTCACCTCTGAGTCGAGTCACATTTGAACCACATCTAAAGGTCTTTGTTTCTTAGACGATGTTTTAAAAACTGAGAAAGTCGTGACCTGAGACTTTTGAGTTAATAACTCACATAAGAGAATTGGAGTTTTCAAATAAAAGCAGAGGTGTTAGTCTGATGGCTGTGTTTGGAGTCTGAAACCTCTCTGATCGTCCCAGTGTTATTTTTAACCGACGGCAGATTCTGTTCAGAATCTCCGTGATGTCACTTCTCAGAAGCCGAATTCTTCAGCAGCAGTGTTTACGTTTGGGCACAGACGCCAGGATTTCTGGAGTTAAAGACGAGACCCAACGACAAACATCCACATTTCACCTGTCACTTTGTGTTTTTAACACACACACACAGGCGTGCGCACACACACACATTCTCTGGTTCTCTCTCTCTCTCTCCTGGATTATGTAATCCTAGTTTACATACACTCGTAAACAGAGGCAGTCTTAAATCCAGAGTCACCATGTTTACATTCGGAAACGTCAGATCTGAATCGGGCTCCAGAGTCTGCTTTGACATGTGAGGCTTCTTTAACTCTGCTCTGAAAATGGGGGAAAAAATGAGAAACCCTTTAAATTCCAGACAGAATCTAAACATCTGCTTCAGTGGAGAACAGCTGATCATGTGCAGCCTCTTCACTGCAGCTGAAGTCTGTTATTCTTAAAGTGTTTGTCTGTCACACGGCTGTTGGATCACAGACAGGGATACAACTGTCGCAGAAACATAGAAGACGCCAACCGAGGACTGACTTTGTCATTTTGTAAATGAAGAGGAATATAAAAGTTCATAGAAGGGCCGAAAATCACAAGATGCACAAAAAAACCCCAGCTCAGTCTTCCAGTCCTCGCAGATAAAACAACTCAATGTTAATGAACAATACCATGAAAATTTAACTAAAAGTTATTTCTAAGAAATATATTTTGTTTTGTTGTCCAAACAACCAAACATTGGACAGTTTTCCCCAAATATACAAAAAGCAAAGAGTAAACTAAAGTCAAATTAGAGGCTTGCTTGTGTTGATGATCTCCATCCTCCAGGTTTGAGTGTTAGCCCTCTGTCTGTGTGCTGTCATGCTTCGAAAAGTGATTTTAAACAGAAGGTGCTTTTTGTCTCTTCTGCATGTGACCTGAAGAAGCCAACAGAGGCTCAGCAGAACCCCTGGTTCTGGTTCTTCTATGGTTTATATCTGTTCACAAGCTCCCGAAGAAAGATAGACCTGACATTTAGAAAAATGTTAACTATAAAAACACGACTCCTTGGCCGTCACTTGGTGATGTCTGAGGTGAGGACAATCTGTGGCGTGTCACCTTCTGATGTTTGTTCAGTAGAACGTTCCTCAGTGTCTGTGCTCTGCAGGTGATGGAATGTCAAAGCCTGCATCCAGACTCCATCTGTCCCACTCTAAATCCCGGGATTTGGAAAGTTGGAGACACAGAAACAAATCTGATGTCATTCTGGTTCTGGTTCTGGCCGATTGTAGTTAAAAGAAAAAACTTGGTTTTGATGGGGTCTTTGTGTTTGTTTGTTATTAACTGTAATCAACAGTAATCTGACTTGGAGTCAGTTCCCATGATGCACTGCAGCTGTCTGTTCTTTCACAGAGCAGTGCAAATGGAAATCAACATTAGTTCTGGGAACAAATCGTTTCTCATGTCAAAATTCTTATTTTCTTATGAAAATGAAAATCGTTCCTAGTTTCAAACACTTTTCTTATGTTGAAAACATACTCACACACAAGTATGACTAACTCACAGACATGCAAACCTTGTAACTCCCCCTCCTCCCCCACTTTAGCTCCACTTACTGGCATGTTGACGGCCATTTACCTAAACACACACACCACATCACGGTCTTACCCACAGAGCTGTGACGCCTCAATAACACTAAGAATAAGTATTACAGTCAGTACTACAAGTTGACACACGTCACACACTCTGTATGGCCTGGTGGTTTGGGGATAACCCTGGTAGTGTGTGTGTGGTTCTACCAGAAAGTTGTGTGATTCTTGATGTGACAGCCGTCTGTTTCTAATATTAATAATATATTAATACTAATATTCTGACCTCACTGCTCTCTCTTTTTGGCGAGATCAGTCAACGTAGAATCAGATCAGCTGATCGGATCCTACTGCTGCTCTAAGCCCAGGTTTCGTCAGATGAACAAAGCCTGTCGACTCCTGTTTTTCATGTGATTGCTTTACTTCACAACTTCTGAAGGATGACGCTGCTGTGAAGTTAAATTCCGGCAAAAACACGGGCTGGACTGAAGACGTTAACCCTCAGTGTCCCTCAAGGATTCAGTCTGGAACTGTTGTTCAGCTGCTCAAGCATTTATACAGGTTGTGAAATAAAAAAAGTTTTCTTTTTTTGCTCCATAGGTGTAGCTCAGGGTAAAGTCAGAGATTCTGAGAAAAAAAAAAGTGAGAGATGAGGAGGAACATCTCAGCTGCTCAACATCATCATCGTCATTGCCCTCATTATCAGCGTCACCACCATCATCAGTCCACCACTGTGGCCACTGTGGGGCGATCTTCTTTGCTTTTAAATTGATCATGATTGGAGAAAGTTGGACCCTTTACCTGAACCATAGCAGGAAGGGAAGTAAAATCGAAGTCTGTTCACAGCTTACTGTCTGCATTCAAAACACAAGTCAAGGTCAGGCTCCTCAGATGTCACTAGCCCCACCTCACAGTCTTCTTCTCCCCAGTTGTCTTTGGATGGGGGGGATTTGTGGTGTAAAACCCAAAAGGGTGAAAGCTCAAAACATTCAGTATCCAGGATGAGCCAAGAAATGCAGGGGAGGTTTCCTGACCGGATTCTGGTCTGGGAACACAGTCTCCAAGTCCCAGACAAAACCAGACCAGACCCCCTCCCCACCACTGCTCTCCGGCCTCAACCACCAATCACTCCATGGAGGAGAGATACATTCAGTGGAAGTAAAGCCATGTTCTCCAAACACTTTTGACGTTCTTGTGCTGGAAACTTTTTTCTGATTTCATAGGTGGCATTTTCTTCAAACTGACACTAACCTCGAACTCTGGTGAAACCAAACCCTGTTGTGATGGCTGTGCTCTCTCAGATCTCTCAATTCAGTCAAACTTTCAGGTTCTACTTGTTCACTCCATCTATCTCATCTCTTCAAATCTCAGAGACTATGTTAGTTGTGAAAATCCCAGTAAATGGTTCTCTGCCAGCTCCCAACGTTCCCAGGAGAGTCCGGTGCTTAGGACTAAAGGATAGAAATAGATGTTCAACCTAGACCCTAGTCTGGGGAACCCCCTCTCTCCATCCCGAAGATCCTAAGACGGTCAGTGTCGCACAGATGAAACTGTGACTTCACTGGAACTTTTGTCTGATCCGTTTGTGGCCCACTAGATGGGAACTGTGCTGGATCTGTGTTCTCCAGAGGTCCAGAGGGACCGGACACTGCCAAAGTGCCACGAAGACTTGGCAGCACAGTGGTGAAGAGACAAGGTCCAAGTCCTGAAGGTCCCTTCAGTGGAATTCCAGTGGAATAAACAGTGACACAGGAACTGGGCTTCTTGGACTTTTTGAGGATGATGAAATATTTATGAACTTCATGACGACACAGTGTGGAGCCATAGGTGTGTCCTGGAGCGGGTGACCCATGTGACTAAGGTTCAGCATCAGCATATGTGTGGAAATTCCTGCATCTCAGTGTTTGTTTATGGAACTGCCAGCTGTTTCTGATGTCATCGTCATCATCATCGACAACAGCGGGATTTTTTTTCTAAAAATAATGTTTCACTTGCTCCGACTGTTCATAGGCCACGTCCATTTTTGTTTAACGTTCTCAGGATAATGGAGGGAATTTCATTCTTCATAACGTCTGGGATATTTTGAGCTCCTAGGGGCAGCTATGGTTCAGTGGGTCGAAGCTTAAAAGTGTACCATAATCTGTCCTTTTACCATGGTGTCCATGGGAAACTGAGACACAAACTGAAGGCAAATTGTATTTAAGAATTAAAAAATAATTACAAAACAATCACAGGTGGAAATAAAAACCCCATCAGTCACCATCTCAGTCCTCGTGGCCTTAAAAACCTCAGAAAAGTGAGATAAAGACGGCAGACACGCTTATCTTTAAATTCTGCAGCACCTGTTCACACATGAACTTTTTATTGTTTCTTTGATCCTGCATAGACCCCCAAGTGGGCATGGCCTGTTCATAAGCCCTGCCCACTCCTGTGACACGGTCCTGGGCAATGTTTAAAGGTGTCTGAGAGAAAGTTAAAATGAAAGCGCTCCACTGAAGTAACTCTTTATAAATGTTCTGGAACTGATAAAGAACATAAATAAGCTGTGTTTGCTTCCAGCTAGCACTGCTAACAGGTAGAGTCCAACAAACAAAGAAATAAACAGTGTGATAGACAGATGTTTTTCCCCTGGTTACCGGAACCGCCAAGTACGAGCGAATGGACGGGTTTTATAGGATCCCCAAAGACTGTCGAGCACCAGCATAAACATAAATCTGCGCCCCGTTTGTTATTTATATTAAGTGTTGAATTTACTGAAATATAAATGCACACACACATAATTCTAGTACAGAATCCAGCCTGGGTCCAGACTCACTGATCCTCCTCATAAAAACACAGCATGTTGTTGAGCTGAATCAGTGAATCTGGATCAGCTGATCTGGTTTTCACACTATGTTCTGTCCAAACACAGACGATGTACCTCCAACGTTCCCCATTAGAGTGGTGAGATCCTCTTTCGGAGCAGCTGGGAGACTGGCGGACATGGAAGGTAAGAGACAAGAGGTGAGAAGATGAGGTCCTGACCTTCAGGTCCTGACCCTCAGGTCCTCAGATCCTCATCAGCTCTCAGAGTCCTGATCTTTATGACAGATTAAATGACATTTTTATGAGCAGTTTCTGGAGAAAGTCAGAGACACATTTATCGTCTTCAAAGATTCAAAGATGAGAGTAAAAATACAAGCCTGGGAAGCAGGGAATTATGGGTATAAATAGATCTAGTCTTCCTGGACTGTAGAGTCACATGACCACAGAGAATTTACCAACACGGTGGTAACTGTGTTGGAGAGAGTCTTTCACACTGTTTAACCAACCTGTATGAATTTTAACAAAAACCAAAAAAAAAACAAAAAACACTTGAGCCCTCCTTCTCCTGAACCCCCCCAGATTTTCAGCAAAATCTCTAACTCAAACTTTTTGCTCTTAACTCAGACCTGTCTGGATTTTCTCCTTTACAGCCTAGAGCGGGAGGAGGAGGAGGAGGAAGAACCAGGAGCAGGATTTGAAGCTCCAGCTGAACTTCATTAGTTCTCAACTCCTCCACCTCCTTCTGATCATATTCTTTCTGATCTTCTTTTAAACGTGTTTATTTATTTCTGTGTGATTGAAGATTCCCAGAGTCCTCCTCCATCCTGACTCCTAGTCCTCCTCCATCCCGACTCTGAGTGCCGTCTGTTATTTATTCTTAAATCCAAACACGTTTCCCTCTCAGCTGTTTTATGACTGGATCATGAAGTTCAACACATGTCATCTGAAGACGTCCCAACCCTAACTCTCTCTACCGTATGGTTAATGGAGCGAGGGATCAGAGTCATTTGACTCAAAACAATGAAACTTTCTCTCAGCTCTGAGCTCAAACCTTTGAATAGGACAGAAGGAAACAACACAAGCCGGAGGAGGAGAGAAAATAATTGTAACATTTCTCCTTCTTCTAAATGATGTCATCTTCCTGGTTCATTTTTCTCCACATTCAGCAACATTTTGACATTCTGATGTCAGCCTACAGCTGAACTGAAGCTACTGTTAACTGTAACCATGCTAACTAGAAGCTATCTTCTGGCCAACCTTGAAGCCTGTTCTTTCATTTGTTTAATTTTTATTTAAAGGGCAGGCAGAACAGAACAGACGAACGCTGTTGACAGTGTAACGTGGAGAACGTCTTTTACCTGCTGCCTGTCAGAAATACCTCTGATCCTTTGACCTGATCCTCACCGACATAAAACACCAAACACATTAAGATCTCTGACAGCCAGTCCTCCCCCGTCATGGACCAGGCTCTTCATCCCATGAAGAGCAGCTGAGGGAATCTTCTGAGGAACCTTCACATGCATCCTCACATGTTAATCTTTGTAAGACTCTTGGCCTTCTCAGATGTCTCCGTCCATCTGAAGAGCGTGTGACAGATCTACACATGAACCTGTTCAGAAGCCGAGACTGTGATACCACTGATGGAAAAAAACCCCCAGCAGACCTCTGTGTGACCTCTCACTCACAGACTAATAAAGGTAATAACTTCTCTGAATTTAGCAACATGTGACTACATAATGATTAGGCTGTGTGGTCCAGGTGGAGGACAATGGTAGGGGCGAGGTTCAGTTTGGAGGTCATGCTCGGAGCAGAAGGGCCGAAACACTCTGTTCAGAAGATGAGTGGAAGCAGGTCATAGGTCAAATCAGTAGAGTCATTAGAGGGTCTGGACTGTAGGTCAGACAGTAGGGTCAAGAGCAGGGGTCACCAACATATTTGAAACTGAGAGCTACTTCAAGGGCTTCAAGGACAGTACAATTGTCGACTGTCTTGTTGACTAGTGTTATCTTTAGAACCTACCCCGCGGGCACCTTAGGTAGTCCATGGGGGCTACCACGTTGGTGACGCCCTGGTCCAGAGGGACAGCATCAGTTGTCTGCTTTTCGGCTGTTTGAGTCCAGTCTGTGTGCATTTAAACACCTCTGATCAGATTTGTTGATCCACTGCCACCTCTTATCTTCACATTTAGCTCTTGACTAGCTGATAGTACAGACGTATTCCTTATACATATTTATGTTAGGTTAGGCTTTCAGCCCAAACTTGAAGCTTAAACCCCCTCCACTCTGACCGCTCCTTCACCCCCCCCCACACACACTTAAACATACTGAAGCTTTTTAGCAGTCAGTTAGCAGTGTCGCCACGCTTTACCAAAAGCATGTAAACATGATACTTTCCCATGTGATAAGAGAACAAAAAAATGTGCCAGGGAAACACGGCCAACTTGAAAATAACACTGTAACTTCAGTGACAGAGAGAGGTCAGCTATAAAAACAACAACAATGACGATGTAATGTTTGTCTTTTACTTGATTCTACTGAAGCCCCTTCAAGAACCCAGGAGTTCTTCTAGATCCCCGTATGGAATGCAAACAAAAGGTTTCGAAGGAACCAGAGGAACTCCCGGGACCGTCATGGTTCTTGTTGACGAGATGATTTAAGGATTCATCATTTTCTGATCAGACAATTATTTCTACCTCATACTAATTAGAGTTTCACTGATGTCTCCTTTTATGGCTAGGCTATCCTAGCGATGTTCATCTGGGCTAAACTTTAGCTCTGTCTTCATATTTAACTAGTTTTACAGCCACTTTGTCATGTTATTACTGTAGAGGTGTTAAGCGTTAGCTGAGTTTTAGTTTATTCTAGGCTAGCCACAGATACATCTGACCGTGTTTGGGCTGAGGCTTCTATTTCTGCCACTCATTTATTAACTTTGTGCAAAAGTTTGGTTCCTTTGGATCAGATTATCTCCCCTGTTTATTTTTTGAGGAAATCCCACTCTAATGTGTCAGCATTTAAAAAAAAGGAATCCTTATCTAAATATAAACAATTCCCCACGATACCTTGCCAAACTAAGTGCATTTGATGTATGTGTCATTTCTAAAACCCATAAAGCAACATTTCATGGGTTCAAACACTGGACTAGACACTTTGGGGTCCTCAGAGTTCCCCCCTCAGGCTTCACTGAACTGAGTCACTGCAAAAACATTAAATTAGCAGAGTGAGTGATGGTGGAGGTGACCAAGCCGAAAGTCTGTCACAAAGGTGGAATTAACAGGAAACAAGAGCAGCGCCAATCAGCCGTGAGCTTGTCTGTTTCCCAAACAATGTTAATCCCAACGCTGAGGGTCTGGGTGTAGTTTAAGGACTCCAGTGAAAGCTTGAGTGACCAGAAACCCCCCAAAAAATCACCAGGACAGAAAAGAATCAATAATTTGTTTTGGAATTTTTTAAGCTTCCCTGTTTGTTAAAAAAAAAATCAGTGAACTATCTCCCTCCGTCTTTCACAGTGTTCTGTCTCCATCTCCTGACTCATAATGTCATAATTAGACCTGAAGCTAAGAAGGCAGCAATGAGATGAGACTCAAAGCCTGCAAGCGACTTCAAAAGTCTGATGAAGGTAAGAAAAAGAAAGAAAAAAATCTGTATTTAAGCTATGCTGGGTGTGTCATTGGTGCGGCCACAAACCGCAAAGAGAAAATTACAAAACAACCATTTGAAGGAAGCATTGGATCAACAGTTGTTGTGTCTGTGTTTTTTCTGTGTACTCTGGTCTGAGCTAAAATCACTGATTGTCTCTATGGACTTCGGTATAGGTGGCTTGAGGAGTTGACTAACAGCTATAAAGGACAATAAAATACGTATAAAACAGGAGCCAATTTTATCTCCTTTAATCCACTGTGGACAGACTGTCAGGTGAATCATCAGCTTTGTTATTTGGATAAAGGAGGGTTGAGGAAATGACAGCAGCCCTACAAAAGCATGTAGTGAAAACCGATGTTTAACATCTGGATGTAGTTCTGCTCAAATCTAAACACATTATTTATCATTTCAATTAGTGACGTCCAACAGTGGTACCAGGTTTCCAGTAGCAGAAGGTTCTGATGTTCCAGTGCTGTTTACTATAGGAGATTTAAATAGGTGGACAAACACACTAGACAGGGTTAGCATGTCAGCACAGACAGAGACAGACATATCTTGGGTCAGTAAATTTGAATTCTTCACTGTGAAATTGGTCATAAAAGCTCTGAGCTCCTGTGTACAGAGCAGATATGAACATTAATAAATGACATGTGGTGAACCTATGTTCAGCTCCTCCTACAGGCCACACCTTATCGCTGCGTTTCCTTCTACTCTCCAGTCTATCAGTCCCAGGGATTTTTGCATCTAAGCTCACAGTGAAGGAAACACTTTGTGCTGCATCCTCAATCAGTTATTTTCATCACATTAATTTGTTTGTGTTGCAGTTACCTTTTATTTTCTGCCTTCAGTGAAGCTTGTTGGTAGGTCAGATGTCCTTGACCTTTGACCTCACTTTTGGTGATGAAGATGTACTTTAGCTTAAAAGGACCAGAAATGTAACTTTATTTAATTTTAATAGTTATGAAATCATGAATAATTTTAGAAATCATGGAAGCCCCCCACCCCCTAGTGATTAGTCAATCTCTGACAGAGAATCTGGTTCTTTAAAAATAAAATAAACATATTGACAGTGCTAATCGATATTTTCTTTGTCTTTACAGCCCACTACCACATGATCCACAGCCCACTACCACGTGACCATATGAATATTTTACCTGTTTGGTCCTTCTATTTTATTTTCATTTAGATGGTTCTGGGTCAACTTTCTTTTTTACCCTAATTTTCTTGTAAAATAATATTGATTTAAGTTTTTGGCACATTATGTTCAAAACACCAGATGTCAATGTCAGATTAAATTTTGTTATCCTACTTGTGATTTTAATGAGAGCAGCCCTCAACCAAAGGTTTAAACAGAAAACTTTGGAGTAGTGAATTAATAATTTAACTGCAGACATTTGAATAATGCAAAGTAATCAGTGGAGAAACAAATTACTTTTGTTTCCTGTTGTTTCATCAACACAGCCTTAAAACAAACACCTCCTCATCTTTACTTCAGCTGATGTAAAGAAGAAGAACGAGCTTTGAATTTAGTGAGAGAGCCACTCTGGCAAAACAACTGACGGCTTCATTTTTAACATTTTGATAAAAGTGCATGAACTTTTACCATTTACCTCTCTCAATGACAGCAACATTTAATTTCTGCTCATGTCTGACCCAAAGAAGAATTCACTCTTTTAAGCTGCTGCTGCTCCTGCTACCCCTAATAACCAACACAGGTTATTAGGGGGGAGGAATGTTTGAACAGAAAAAACACAGAATAATTAAATCCAAATGTTTGAGTGAAAAATAATCCAGAACATGAGCTTCAGCTGAAGCAAGAATACTGGTTCACCCAAAGAAAATGAACACCATGGGGTCATCAGATAAAAAAGGGCTGTGACATCATCAGAAAGAATAGGCTGTGACATCGTCTGACATCAGAATAAAAAGGCTGTGACATCATCAGAAAGAATAGGCTGTGACATCGTCTGACATCAGAATAAAAAGGCTGTGACATCATCAGAAAGAATAGGCTGTGACATCGTCTGACATCAGAATAAAAAGTCTGTGACATCATCAGAAAGAATAGGCTGTGACATCATCAAACATCATAAGAAAAAGGCTGTGATGTCATTAGAAGAGGCTGTGACGTCCTCAGAAAAAAGGCTGTGACATCATTAGAAAAAAGGCTGTGACATCATCAGAAAAAAGGCTGTGACATCATCAGACATCAGAAGAAAGAGGCTGTGATGTCATCTAAGCCAAATGAGCTGCTCCATTGTGGTAATGTCACTCACCAGTGTTTGCTGCTGCTGCTTCTTTTGGACACACTCGACTACTTGACTGACGTACTTATGACTTACTTCCTAATGGTGAAGTCATCGAAAAAATGGCAGCGGCCCCTCCCCTGCAGGACACAGCCACACTGAGAGACACACCTACTCTGACACACCCAGAGGAACAGATAAGTTTCTCTGAAAAGAAACACACAAAGGTAATGTATTGTACATTTGAAAATAAATCAATCAATACAACTTAAATAATAAATGTTGATCTTTAAATTATTTTAAAATTGAACTTTAAAAAAGAAAATATTTCATTAATGTTGGTAGACTGACTCTGACAGCAAGGTCATTGGTGTAGGCATCAGTAGTTGCAGCAGCAGCGTAGGTCTCTTTTACGTTCAGTCTATTTTCTGCAGACGTTTATTTTCTTTCCCCTGTAAATATGGTGAACATTTTCTCTCTGTTTGTTTTTTCTTCCTCATTTTCTCAATTTTTTTCACTTCTGTTCTAAAACGCAAACATCTGCTGAGGTCTGAGGAGAAGAAGAAGAAGAAAAAAAGTAGATTCCAGTAGTCTCAGGTTCAAGGATGTTCTAGGATCATTTACATCCAGTATCAACAAGAAAATCCATCATAGAGATTCAGACCTTGTCAGGTCTCTGACCGAGGTCCAGGTCCTACAACCTGGAGATACATGAACAGTAACAATGTCCGGACACAGACTTTGCAGGTGGGTTTGGGTCTCAGGTCCAAACATGATCAGTGGGTCAGAAGCTCCATCAGCTACTTGTAGTTGACCAGATCTTTGAGTTTGGTCCAGCAGATAGGGAAGTCCAGATTTAGTCTCTTCTAGCTTTGATCTGACAGATGTTCAGGGACTGGAGGTGGAACCACAGGAGGTGGACCAAGACTGAGGCCTCAGACGTCTTCTGTTTGGCCTCTTGATTGACATGGACATTTATTCTTTACTCATGATTTACTCACGATTTATTTAGCTCTAGCAGTGCTACGTCAGCTGGCACTGCCGTATTCACTTCTCGTCAGTTTTTGTTAGCTGTCGGGTTTTGCTCTTTACGTTACTAGGTAAAATGGCGACAAGCTAAAACTTGTCCCTGTAGTACTGTACCTCGTCTGTGCCACCACCCCTCAAGTCTCTGTCTGTGGACTGTTGTTATTTGGTCTGACAAGCAGAACAAGCACATCATTAAGTGTTGTTCTTGACCTTAATACCAACCATCACTCTCCAGAAGCTTTGAGTCTGTAAATTTACTAAACAAATTCATGAGAGCCGTAAAACCTTATGAAAGGTGTTGATCTTGTTGGTGTTTCGCTCAAAGTGACTTCCTGAAGCTGGTGTGTGATGAACAAGTTCATATATTCTCTGGTCAGTATGTCCTCAGAAACACTAAAGGCTGCCCCTTGTGGACAGTTGGTGTTTAAACAGTAACTGAATATATTTTAAATATAAATATTATTCTGTGTTGAGATTTAATAAACCTAAAACCAATCATTTAAAAGATGCATTTAAAATGCAAACTAAGTAAACCTAGTGACCTCGCTCTTTGACGTAACTAAAATGAACCAAAACTGAATTTGAGGTGGGAACACTTAATAAAACTAAACTATAATGAAAGTAGGGTGTCACCATTATTCGATATTACAACTAACTGTGGTGTTAAACGCAACGGTTAACTTATCGTAACGTTTCCTTAATACTGTCAGAAAATATGCCGGAACTGAAGTCATGGGCAGCTCAAACGGAACGAAAACAATGTTACACAACAGCCGCGTGTTGCATTTGTTTTTTCACCTGAGGGACAACCACCCGCCATTGTTAGCCACAGTGAAGGTAAAAACACAGTAACTGGATTAAATTATGCTATTTTTGTCCTCTAACGTTACATTAAATGTTAGCATGTCATTTGTAATTAATTGTTTACGTGTTCGTCTTTCAGTGCAACGTGACAGGTTACCTAACGTTAACATCATACTGTTCGTATGTAAACATGGCGTCAGGTCGGTCGCCTTTTTGAATTTCATTTTCTTTTATCTCTTTTGTCGGACAGTTTCAGTGTCCGTGAGGAGTGAGTTGTAGAAGAAAACTCCGTGTAGTCTGTTCTCAAAGTCCTCAGTCAGTCACAGTTAGCATTAGCTCCTTAAGCTTTTCTCCCAGCCGTAAACGCTGGGCCTGTGCTTCCAACACTATGGGATGTCCGTTTCACAACAATTTGTGTATATCATTGTAATTCAAACATGAATTAAATTAGTAATAAGCCATCGTCAATTTTCTCTCCTGTACCTTTTGGTTACTTGACTTTGTATCAAAATCAATTAACGTAAAATAATCGTACCAAGGAAATTCATGATAGTGACATCCCAACATTCAAAACTATTGTAACCTTGGACTGAAGAACAACAAGTGTATATATTCTGGTTCTGGTTCTTGTTTCATCATAACCATTAAAAACAGTGTGTATCATATTGTTTTTTCAGGAAGAGGTGAAAACCAGAGTCGCCTTTCAGGAACAAGTGTCCCTACGGCAGGAGGTAAAGAGTTAATTTCCTTCAGAGTTTCCCTGGGCCAGGTTTCATGTGGGTCTCAGTTCTGAGGTAAACAGTTCTTCACTCATCATCAGGGGGGAGACGGTGGGGGAGGAGGTCATGGCTTGGCAGTGTGCTCGACACAGACGTAGCTGTCAGGAATTTTGACGCTGTAAAAGCATGAGATGCCAAGATTACGTAGAGGTTAGGAATCCAGAACCCAACACCACTGCAGAACCTGGGCTCTGGAGCCACAGCCGTGATGTAATCCATGAGTCAGGGCTGTAAAAAGGCAGAAAATCCTGTTTTGGGGAACATGAGAGGAAAGAGATGGATGGATCTGTTCGCCCCTCACTGAACAATTCTCTAAATTTAGAGCTGCTTTCTTACCCCTGCTCCCAGCACAAAGTCCTGGCTTTGGACCCAGGAATTACCTCAACTCTGTGAATGAAGGACCAGCAGGTTCTGCCATCTAGGCCTGAAGTTCACTGATCCACAGCTGCAGGCTTAACCAGCTACAGTGGTCTTGAATTCAGGTTTCCCCAAAAACTATGCACCAACGTCCATAGAGAAAATCAGTGATTTTAGACCTCAGCCTAAAGGTAAAACACAGACAGACTAATTGTTGACCCAATGCTTCCTTCAAATGTGTTGTTTTGTGATTTTCTCTTAAAGGTTCTCTTTATTTGGTTTGTGACAACATTGAGATTAGTAATGTAGGCAGCACCATTGACACAGTTGGCGTAGCTTAAATAGAGATTTATTTTTCCTCTTTTTCTTACCTTCATCAGACACCAACTCAAGCACAGAACCATTAACTAAAGGCACATGTGTGTGTGTGTGTGTGTGCAGTGTGCAGTAACAGCAGGATCAGAGACCAGTGACCAGTAAAAGCTGTAGATAAGTGGTTTAGTGTTGACTTTATTAACCAAATCCAGATGACACAGAGTGTGTAAGGTGTGTGGTAATAGTGCTGCTAACAACACGGCCAACTCTAGGAGGTCAAAGGAAAGGTCAACAGGTCAGTTGTCTTTTTCTCCTCTCCAGTGCTGGGTGCCTGACATGAAAGGTGATGACAATCAGATTTGGATTTGGCAACAACAAGGCCTTCCAGCAGGCATACGGTTAGGAGAGGGATTTTGTGTGATTTGATTGGGTGGTCCTAAACTAGCATCTCGTGACTCGCACTCATGAAAAATGTAGTTTTCTCTGCCTAAGGTGGATTAAAACGTATTCCATAAACAGGACAGGACAGACTGGACTTTGATCGTTAGCATGGACGTAGATAGAAAAGGACTCATTGTTAGAACTGGAACACACCATGGATTTGGTCTTTTTCATAATGTTATCACTTTATTATATTATCATTGATGCTTTTCTGATCTGTCACAGCTGTGGCTAAGTTGTGCTTTGTGGGTTTGTTGCTTTAGTAAACGGCCTTAGTTATCTTGGATATAACGTCTGCTTGCTTCATATCAGACGAGCTGTTAGAAATATATTGTGTATCTGTGAATCTGTTAAACGTGATTTTTTTAAAGGGAGCATCAGAAAGAAAATGAATCAATTTGACATTAGAAGACATGCCACAGCTTCTTCTCATTAGAACTGTTGCTGTTTGCAGTCTTCTTTGTCTTCTCTCTAATCTAGTTATTTCCTCAAAGACACTACTGTTTAAATCCAACACGTCATGGATCATGTCTGGATTATTATTCTACATGCTCTCATGTTGAAACAGTTTTTTATGACAGTGGTTCCGTCCCAGTTCTCTCTCTTCTCTGTGTCTGATTGGAACCTGGTTCCACAGCTGTGTTTCTTCGTTGCCGTCTCTGATTAAAGCCGTTTTGTGTCGTTAACCTGAAGCAATCCATTTTCACACTAATGTTCAGCTCATGAAAATATTCAGCTCATTTGTCCAAAGATGTTTGTCTCTTCGTTCTCAGAGTGGAAATAAATGTGTGTTCAAACAAGGAAAGTTGTATATGCTACTGGCTGTTCTGCCACAGCTGGGTTGGTGGGGGTGTGTGTTTGGTTGCAGTACTGTACCGTTTTCCAGCAAAGTCAACATTAATTCATAAGAGGTTTGAGCTGTGACGTCAGCCCAAGGTCAGTGTTTTCCTTCTTCTCTTGGAGAAATAGCAGAAAGAAAAGTCATCAGCCCAGGTGTCGTAGCACATGAACACACAAAGGTCTAACAGCAGAAACACAATTTTAAGTAGAGGGATAACGACTATAGTAATTCAGCGATCCACCAGAGGGCGCTTCTAGCTCAGCTGTCCCTCAGTGGAACAAACTAACTCAATGTTCTGTTTACCATCCACATACGAACTGCCTCAGGACAGTGTTGCCTTGGGGTTGAACCCACAACTAGCTAGTTAAACCGGCTGAGCTAAGTGACGTATTTTGACTCTAGTTTTGTTATGTGATCATTGACATTGAAAGGATGAACCCTCAATGTATTTATATACCCTAAAAATATACCTTAAAACGCATTTTTGAACGAGTCATGCCCCCTAACGGAAAAGCTAAGAAAAATGATCAGACAGAGTGAACCCCAAACAGCCAATGACGAGGGCCCATCTATAAAATGGGAAATTCAAATAAACAGCAGTGGGCCATGTTTAGAGCCAACACTGGTTCTGCTGGTACTGAAGCCCAAACACTGGGCATTAGCGTAATCATTAGCAGTCGTACATCAACACACGCCAAAAGGTTAAATAAACAGTGTACTTGTCTAAAAGGTAAACAACCAGGCGAGTCCAGCAGAGGAATCTACTCAGACCTTGTCATAGAAGAACCTCTTTCTGTTCCCTGGTGGCCCACAACCTGATGTACTGCTTCAACAGAACATACATTTCTTCCATCTCTTTCTAGAACAACATCTTCCTACTTTGGTACAGATGTGTTTTTTTTTAAAGAACTAAGACATCTTCTCAGCCGTTTTGCCCATCAGTCATTAAGGATTATTTGTGGAAATAGAATGCAATTAGCCAGACTGACTTTTAGCTGCAGTCAGTAAACGCAGCAATGCAACAACTCAGTTTCAGTTTCCTCCAAACCTTTCTAAGTTCTACAGAACTAAACTGGGCCAGAATCTGATCCTTACTTTTCAAGAATTAAAATACATCTAAATAACAAGAAACGTCACTTGAATACAGTTCAGATACAAGTGAAGGAAAAATCTGTGATCACTATGTTGATGTTAATGTTGTCATAATTACATTTTTTTTTTTTTTTTTGTGGTTTGAAGAAACCTATAAAACCCGTCTTTGGTCGAATGTTCAAGTTACCTATGATAGTTCTAGGGATTGTGGGGAATACTTGAGACATAGTTGTCTTTGCAAGTATGTATTCATTTGAGTAGCACTTGACAAAACAAATGATTGTGTCAGGGTTTTTTTTTAACATAACTGACAAAAGTTTCCTCTGGTCACAAAGTCCCGGTCCTTCCTCAGGTCAGGATAGTAAAGTCACCAGACATTTCTGGAGATGAATCATCTTCAACAATTCTGAAGGGTCGAAGGTGAAATATCAGGCTTATCCATGTTTTCAACTTAAACCTAGCTAAACCCAAGTAAAAACCTACTGTAAACCTAAGCCTTCACTTTCTGTTTGTTGATATAAAAACCTAAAAAGTAAAAAGTCCTACACTATTATTAATGGATGCTGGTTTAGCTGTCCTTTTTCCATCATTAATCTATGAATGAAATTAGTTAATTTTAGCTTTTTTTTTCTATTTTTATCTCTTTCTCCCTGAACCCTAACCCATGTCTCTGCTTCTTCTGGGAAAACGAACAAACAAAATAGTTCCGTGTTACAGTATAAATCATACCTTAGATATACTGCCACCTAGTGGTAAAAGTCGGGAGTTACAACCTTTAGATTCACGATTCAAGTTTTGTAAATCATAATAATAGAAAAAAGGATGGGTTTGGAAACCTCAATTTAAAAGAGTACAATGAACCTAGAGGCGACTCGGGAAAGATCTATTGACTGCTGTGTTTGGTTATTTACTTATTTGTTATTTTATTCATTTATTAATATGGTGGTTACTTCGTTATTAGAATGTTTAGTTCATTCATGTATTTTTTTGTTTGCTAATCGACTCATTTTGACAAAAAAAAAAAGAAGAAAAAAGAGTCGTAGTGGTAGCAGCTCATCGATTTTGGGAGAACGTCCAGCCAGTCACGTGACATTTGGCCGGTTATTTATCTTCTCTCTGTCATCCCCTCACGTGGTGACTGATAGATGCTGCAACTCCAATCTTTATTTTTTAGTTTACATGTTTTAAAATCAGCAGTGCTAAAAAAATAAGAGATTCATAATAAATAAAAATAAAACCACGTGACAAAAAGGCAAACTAACTTTAATGCCTGTAGTCAGATAGAATATTGTTATCATTTAAATCACAAAAATTACACTTAGCTTAATAACATCCAAATAATTATCATAATATTTATGTTTTGGAACAGTCTTTGTCCATTATTAAACTTACATTTAAAAGTCAATAAATATGTTAAAAATGTTGAAGATTTTTTTTTTAAATATCCACATTCTTAAGGCATTGATTATGTGGACTTTTATGAAGCTTTTTCTATGGTGATTTGCGCAGACAGAGATGATGTTTCTTGACTTTGCTGTTTGAGATCTCTGGTTTAGATAGACCTCTGTGACATAAAGTGACTACAGGGGGCGCAGCAGCTGACCATGTAAACGTCTACTCTCCTCGATATGTAATGATGTTTTTGTCTGTCTCGTGAATCTTGATCTCGTACAAAAGGTTGGAAGGGAGAGCTTTCACCATGTTGTCCCAGATGTAAATGGCCAAGTTCTCAGTGGTGCTAGAGGACAAAGAAACAGACAACGACAAAAAAACTGTGTTGATCCCAGAGGGAACATTCTTAAACAAATATCTACTGCATACAGTATGTACACACGTGTATTTACCTGACCACATTAGAAAAGTAAGGGACGTCCTTGTCCAGGTTCTTATGGTCCAGTGGAGTCATGATCACATCCTGCAGGAATCAACATTTTAAGTTGCTATTAAGTGTTCTACACAACGGCAAATGCCAAACTAATTTATGTAAATATTTTATTTAAAGAGCTTAGACTACAAACTCCGGTTAGACTGGAATGACATGCTATTACCTGAATGCATTTCTTCATGTCTGTGATGTTCATGACCATTCCAGTCAGGGGATGGATCTGAAGACACACATGACACTGTTAGCATTAGCTGTCCTGCCACTATGCTACATAGTAGTGTGTAAAATATGTTGTTGTCCTACTCACTTTTCCACGAACTGTCACCTCCACTGTGGACAGGAACAGAAAGTGGGTGAATGTGCCAATGAGTGAATGAAAAATGTGCTGGATCATGTTATACTGATGACAGGACAAATTTACCTTTGTAGTTATGTCCATGACCATTAGGGTTGTTACATAGTCCAAAGACTTCTTTGTTTTCTTCATCACTCAGTAAGTCACTAAAACAGAACATATCATGTGATATCATGCGGCGTGACATGGATCAACTTCCGTAACATCCTGCCACTAAATGTTCTCCATACAGAAATTGATTTTACTTTAAACTCACTTCTAAGTTTATAAATAAAGTGCAACTTGTTGTTTGCTCCCATGGCAAACTCTGAAATTTAAATAGAAAAAAAAAACCCTGTGTTGTTACCCAACAAAATCCAAACTATTTCTTGTGGGTACCATATGGTGTTTTTGTTAGTGGGTATCAATACATACTTTCTAATTTATATTTGTGTAACGTGTTCGTTCATTTTAAGCCGGAGAGTATTAGGTCTCCTGAAGGCAGCTATTAGGGCACATGTGGACAGGCACTCAGGGGACACCTATAGGGTCTTCTGGGTTAATTTACCCGTTGACCGGAAGTTGGAGCCACAGTGCAGTTACAGTTAGTGATTCTGTGTCTCTGTGTTTTCAGGTAAGCGATAATAGGGACGCGAGTCTATCTTAAAGTTGGGGAAACAGATTTGTATGTTGTCCTCAAGAATATTGGAAATAATATTGAATGCGTTCGAGACGGTATACATTGAGTGATTAGGAAAGTTAATAGGCTTATGACGCTTATTTACCTTGCGTAAATAAAGCGGCGTATCCGTGAGGATAACGTCTAACGCTGACGTTGTACCCGCGGCTGGGGTGCGTGCAGTAGTAAAATGTAAGTATTAAATGTCCGTTAACCAGATGAGCCAGTGGTTAGTCACAGTTCGTGACGCCTATGTCTCTGTGTTTTCATGGTTACATGGAATAAACCTTAAAATCCTATGTACGCCAGGAAGCGCCTCAAATCCTGGCGGCCACTCCGATGTCAAACTTATTTATTTTTTCTAGACGTTTTAAAATAAACTATACCTAAAATAAACCTGTTAACCATGCGTTTTTGGGTTGAAGAATTAAGTACATACAGTCCTGTTTTCCTTCCCTTCCATTCTTTTGGCACAGTGATGCGTTTGCATAACATAACATAAAGTAAGTTTGCGTTTTTCTCACCTGTGGAGCCGATGACAGGCGCTAAAGCTCTGGACTCGAGTCAAGAAACCGATCCGTTCGTGGCCGTGTATTCCCTGAGTCGATAGAGACATATTCGAATGTTCTGAAGAGACAGTAGAAGGGAACGAGGAGCGGAGAGAATGAGAGAAACGAGCCGAGCTGACGCTGACTTTACTGTCCCTTAAGCTCCGCCCACAAAGACTCACGCGAAGTTCTAGCAGACTGGAAATTAGGGCGTAAAATCTCACAAAAGATGGATAAAGATGTGCAGATAAATCAATAAAACCAAGCAGTGCCCTATGACCTCTGAGTCACATGACACATTCATGTGACCTGGAGCAGCCAAATCAGGTAAACGGTACGTCTTTCACACAGAGTCGGTGATGAATGCTGGCTGAAGGCTTTTTATGCATGTGTCACTCTAGTGTTACTTCAGCGTAAAATTACTTTTTTTTTTCGGTTGTTTTTATTTACATGCTAATGACAAAAGCACATATATATGGAGACAGTTTTCACTTTATGGTAAACTTTACACAGGAAAGCATTTCAGCAGTTAATATTGTAGTATTATGATGCCCATTTTTTCCAGAGGACTAATGCTGTTGTGTCTATTTGCATGTGTATAATGAATAATACATTGGATTCTTCATGTTTTTCTTCTTTGGTTATGTCTTGTTCTTCCCATCCCTTACTTGGCCTTTAGGTGGTGCTATGTACACATTTAAAAACTGTTTCATGATCTAATTTTTAAATCTGGATGAAATGTTTTTACTGGGAAATGAAATTAATTTCGACGATCTGCTGATTGTCCCATAGATGTGAGACATAAAATGTCTGCCTTCAACGTTGAATTAAATATTGTGAAGAGTTGCTGTTCTGGTTGATGTCAAATCAAACCTGGAGAATGTTGTGGATCATTGTCTTTTCATGATGATGATTTTGTGTCTTCTGGTTGGTTTCAGGATCAGAACTCACTCTCTTCCAGAACCTCCTCCACTGTTTCTCCAAGGGTCATCTCTCCGTCGCTGCTGGACAGACTTTTCCTGGTCCTGAAGTCCAGTCTGGTGACATCACAGCCCATCACACCCTGAACTTTAACCTCTCCAGCCCCCAGAGTTTGACCTCCTCTTTGTGGAGCAGCCTGACAAGGCCGCAGCTGGTTGTTGTTGGGGCTGGTGTCGTCATAGCAATCGCCAAGATGCTGGCTTCGGCGAGTGCATTTCCTTATGAGCTTCAGAGGAGCGCATTCTGTGACCTGGAAGTGACTGGTGAAGAGGAAGAGCTGCCAGCGCTTCTTCAGCTCAGCCTGGACCTGAAGTAAGATGAGTCACAGTTTAAATGAACAAGTAGTTGTTTATCAAAGTTGTTTGTTGATGAGGTGAAACTCACCTCACCATTAGCAAAACAGTAGAGAATAGCAACTAGAAAACCCTGAGAAATGGGACACAAATCAGGTTAAACCATGAGCCAGATCTGGACCTGGACCAAACTCCATTCTTGCAGAAGAGTATGTGTGAGGTCCTACCTGAAAGGAGCTGAGTGTAAGGTTGAAGAAGTTCCTGACATAGCGACCACTGTCGTCGACACACTCGTCTATCAACACTGTAAAGACAACTTCATGTATTCCTAACAGAGGAATGAGGAGCAGGGTCGAACGAGCCAAACTGAGAGAAAGAGAGAAAGATGGATGGATGGTAGATTGGTGAATGAAGGATAGATAGCTGGATGGGTGGATAGAGGGTAGGGCAGGCGTGAACAAACTTTATGACTCGCCGGCTACAATGTGTCTTAAAATTTGATGGGGGGCCGGGTCAGAAGTAGAACAAAAGTCAGTCAGTAAAGGCTATAATGCTTTTAGCCTTTTCTATACCATCTAATGGGGAAACTGGGCCATTGCAGGGAAGAGGCAGAAATATTTGGACAAGTTTGTTTGGACAGATTAAAAATCCAAACAGGCCCCATCTGGCCTCGGGCCATAGTTTGCCCATGTCTGGGTTAGGGCATTGACAGAAAAAACAAGTTGTTGAGATAAAAAGACACATGTCGACATCCCCTGGAAGGAGTTGAAATGTTCTGTTATTTCTTCTGCCTGTGTGGTAACGCGCTCTGATTGGCTAACGCTGATGTTTTATACTCAAAGTAACCAGTAGTTATAATCACTTCAGGAAATGGTCAGAATTTTTCTCTGCGCTCAGCTACACAATCAGAGGATCTCCATCAGTCCTGAAGATAGAAACTTTCACAAAGACAAAAAAGTGACCGGAGATGTGGTCATGTGACTGGAGCTGATAGAACACCGGACTGGAACTGATGCATTCAGTTCCACAGTGAATGGAGTCACATAATCATTGATGGACGTGTGTCTGTAGTTCCTCTGTTCATGTGATGATGTTATTAAATTACTGGTTGACTTTATTGTCAGATTAGTCGGCTTGAAAAGTCAGACGTCATCAATGCCCTAGTAGAGGGGTAATAGTTTGGATAATACGTTGGATGGTTGGATGTCAGATGAATGATGGAGGGATCATACCTGTATCTGTAGTCAGTGAATTTGACTTGATCTGCTCTGAGCTTGGACAGAAGTAACATCAGGATTTTTATGAAAATAAAGAAAATGACCTGCAAACACACAAATGCACACACATTGATTACATGGAGTACTTACTATATGACAGACTGGGGGTTTTACAGAATCTGTGCGCAACTGAAAGTTTAACTAAACCTTGGCTTAAACAAAACCAAGTTTACCTGAACCTAAGCTTAACTGAACCAGAGTATGTGGATTGTCTTACAAGCACTGATAAAGTGATGGGGCCTCTGATGATCCACCAAAACCATCTGTTCACGATGGACCAACATCTGAGGAAGCAGAGAAGTTTGTCCACAATCAGGAGATGGAGAAACAGGTTTTAACTGATTTTATAGCTTGATTGAATTCTTTTATTAATTAAGTTTTAAACTTACTCTGTGTTTTCATAAAGTATTTTCACCAGCATCCACGGAGTCACAAAGATGACAGGAGTTCCTGAGAACCATACACATCTGTGATGAGCAGTTTGATTTGCTGAGACATTCTGAAACCCCACATTTTTGGACTGAACAGATTTTCACTCTCTATGCAAACTGGGATCACAGTTTGAACTGGAGACCGTATGCACTAGTGCTCTGCTAAAATGCTAGCACATGGCTAGAATGTCATCAATGTGCTGTCTACTACCACATTGCTAACATAATAGAGCAGTGGAAACATGCTGCTTGTGCACCATGTGCTAAAATGTTGCTCATTTTCCAGTTTACTACTATTACTGGCTGGAAGCTAGCCTAATTGGAACCTACCCCAACCGAGCAGCATGAACTTCTTCAACAGTCGCCTCCTAGTGGGAACAGTTGTGAAGAGCAGAGCGTGGAGGAAAATGGCTTCGACCAGCAGCCAGAAGTAATTACAAGCCACGAAGTATTCCATACAAACTTTTGAGAGTTTACACATCACTGCCGTCTGTGAAAAAGATATAAAAATTAACTGTTTTTTTTTTTTTTTTTTTTTTTGTGAAATTGAAATTTCTTTTTTGTCTTGTTTAATTTACTGCAGAACTTGAGTATGAATTCCATCCGGAATCGTCCGTAGGAAGGTGTGTATACATGACATGGAGAACTATTTCTTTGGAGATGACGGCCACCGCTCTCAGGATGAAGGACACAAACAGGTTCATGTGTATGTAATTCCTGGTACAGTGAAGTTTTCTGGGAATTGGAAGGAGAACAATGTTTCAGAAGGTCTTCCCAAATAATCACGTTGAGCTGTTTGGGCAGAACACTGACCTCAGAACAGCCATCAGAAGGGTGGCCAGGGTCAGGGAGGTCAGTGACAGGGAATATCCAACAATGGAGATGAGCCGTAAAGCAGTTTGACGGAACATTTCTTTTTCCTGGACGGATTCGAAGAGATGATACTTTTTATAGATGAACGTGTTGAATGGTCCTTGAAAGGTCCTTTAATCAGACTGGTGTGGATGTAACCACTGCTGACTCACCTTGTCTTCGAAGAACTGGTCTTCCTGACACTCGGAGTCATCTCTCCAGGGCTCAGACAAGTTCTCCTTTGGGCGCCACCTTCCATTTTCTAAACACTGTCTGTACGTTCTTCTGGAGCCCCCTGTAAACCAGGAGGGCTGCTGGGGTCACCACATGTTCTGCTCTAAATTGTGACATTATCTCTAATTAGTTAAAGATGAAACACAACTTTACCCTCTTTGATCCACGGCAGATATGGAGGACATGGAACGGACACGTTCCCAGGAGACGAATGAGGCCAACACACGAACGAGTCAAAAGTTCCTCGGCAGAAATTTCCTAGAAAAGACGTAAAGAAGTTTAGTGTGGATGTGGAAGTTTGGCTAACAACACAACAGTTAAGTCAAGCTAACAATGTTGTTAGCTGTTAACCATTGGGTTGTTAGCAAGCACGGCAGGATTCTTTTACATGTGATCAGGACATGTCTAGATCTGGAGTGTGTATTGGTGAGAAATTGTCAATACGATACGTTTCACGATACACGGGCAATGGTACAATATATTGCAATACTATAGGTACGATGATATATTGAGTTTTTACAATGTAATTGTAGTAAAACTGTCATCATAGTAAACACACAATGCTGTTCCATCTGAACATCAGATTACTGTGATCACTAGAGAAGAAATAAAAGAAAAATCTAATAAACCAACGACATGAATATTACTATATTTGAATATTTGTCACTTGTTAACTAAAAAATCCATACTTTGCTGTAGAATATTGATACGATATCACAAAGTAAAATGTTGTAATATATTTTAATGTCGCAATATTTTCTTATTCCACAAGAAGTGTTTACCAATGGCAGTAGAGACGAGCGCTACCAGTGCTCTGCACACTACATGTTAGCACGCTACTAACATGCTGCTCACACATTACTTAGTATGGCAGTACTATAGTATCTTCTGCCCGTAGTTACTAAGTGGAAGGTTCTAAAAAGTTTTCGAAATGTTTTCCTCACCAGTGTTTGGTAGAAGGACTGGGTTCAGAAGACTTCTGTTACACTGGACCCAATACTCGTTCCGATTGGCAATGACACTTTCCAGTACTGAAGCTGTCACCTGTCAGCACACAATATCCGCCAATTATAAAGTTATTATGGAGGGTTTTTACTGTCTATTTAAATTAATACTTTAAAGATTTTGAATTCATCAGGAAGAAATATATTAGTTCAACTTCTAATAACGATGATAAAAAATTCACAGTAATCATCATCAAAGTCCTGAAGCAGTTGTACGGAGATTTTTTTTTTTTACCATAACATCACAAATCTGTAAAAGATATATAATCTGAAAAAGAGCTGACATTTAAATCTGATCTGTTGATCTGATGATCATCTGATGCTCTCAGGTGCAGTTTCCTGTCATTTCTTTCAGATAAACCAGCAGATTCCTACTCACCTGTGGGCTGATAAAAACCAGGATCAGGATGAAAGCGGTCCAGGTCTTGTGGTACCAGCTTGGCAACAGCGTTGTCATGGTTTCTCTGCTGTTTACATTGAAAACATTTCAGTCCAAATGGTTTCCTCCTCAAACATCACGGGGCCTCGGACTCATCTCCACTCAGCAGCAGACACCACGACTTCAGTCCAACTAATTCTACTCTAAGGTTTCTCCTTTTTCTATAGATGTTCCCAACGATCTTCACATGTTCGTGTTTCCTCCTCAGTGATGAGTTCTCTTCTGCAAAAAGCTCAAATGATTCTAGTCCATTAAAACCAGGGAGATGTAAAGACGTCTGAGAACAGAGGACTGAGATTGAGAGCGGATCTCCAACAATGAGGCGGAGCTCCTCCTTCAAATCCTCAGCAAATTACCAGGAGGCTGGTTGAGAGCAGGCTCCGGGATGTTCTGTGTCTGTCCAAATATCAAGTGAGTTTAAAGAAGGTTTAAGTTCAGCCTTCAAATTAACTTTATTTTTAATTAATGCTACTATTAATTATCACCATAGTTTAACATATTTGGGATTTTTCACACGATTTGTCTATATATATATATATATATATATGTATATATATATATATATTTGGCTTCCAAATCCTTATATTTTTGGACATGATTACTCACAGGGTCACTGTGGATTGATATAAAAACTCAGATTCTCACCTGTTTTTATCTTCGACTAATCAAAATATTGGGATTATTAATCTGTGAGTGGGTGTATTTCAGAGTTTTATTTATTACATGCACATCATACAGTGTACAGCACCTGCTGAGTAAACACTTTTTAAAAAAAGAAAAACACATTTTTACACAGTAAAACAGTTAACAGTCCCCCCCCCCCCCCCCCATTAAATACAAACAGAGAAAGAGGACTAACAGAAAAGTTGACTGAGCATCTATGCAGACAGGTTTACACACAAACTGTATATATGTGTGTGTGTTCAATTTAATATCCAAAGTTAAGCAGGCAGATGACCGGTGGTCCTCAGGCTGTGGAGACACTGGCCTGTAGGCAGAGGAGTCGATGGTGTCCGGGGGGGCAGCAGAGGGTCCTGAGCAGACCACCCTCCCTGCTGCGTGCAGTTTCCCATCCCTGTGATTTTGCTTCCAAACAAGATGATGGTCAATACTGCAGGTGTAAAATTAATCAGCCTGGAAAGTTTTGAAGCTTTAAGGCCACTTTCAGTGACTTTGCTGACCATCAATGATTAATGTTCAGATGTGTGTTTTGAAAGACACACACACACTAACCTGAACCAGGGCAGGAAAGAAGTAAGAGTTTGTTTACCTTTGTGTAACTGTGTAAACACAGCAGCCCAGATGTTTGGCAGTTGCTGCTTCATGGGTTCCATCATGTTTAGCCTATAGGCCAGATGTCCTGTGGGCCACGGTAAACTGTTTGGGTTTCTCAGGTCTCGCATAGTTTGGTCGCCGGAGCTTTGACCAATTATCAAGTGAAGAGTGGCCTGTAGTCGAGAGGTCAAGAGGTCGCTGCAGTTGTGGAGCAGAAACAGGAAGGGGTGGTGGTCTTCTGATAGCTCCTCACCCCTAACACCTACCTCTCTCACCCCTAGTGTAACTCCTAACTCCCCAACACCAGTGACCTCTGTAGTAACCCTGTCCCCCGGGTTCTGTACTACAGCCCCCAGGTCAGTGACCGGGTCAAACATGTTGTTGTCATGTGACTTGTTTTTACACTGTGCTGCAGTGTGCGATGCACATACTTGCCTGCTTTGATACAGTGAAGGTGGGGGTGTGCACAGCATCACCTCTCAGCCGGAAAAACAAACACTCAGACAGACAGAGAACGTTCTGGATCCAGGGTCAACAGCAGACACAGCCATGGGCATCACATCGCTGTGTAGCCAAATAACAGCATCAGGCTCAGGGAGGAGGAGAAAAGGCGGGAGAGAGAGTGGGGCAGGGTTAGTTGAATTTAAATTATTTGCCGATCATTTCTGTTTAAAGTCTCATTGTCTTAAGGATTAATTCATTCGTCATCTCCTCAGTGACTGTATGTGTGAAATAGGTGGAGGTCCTGAACCCCCCGGCGCCCCCTGTGGACTGTCTGGATGAGAGTGTTTCTGAGCATCAGCAGCTTTAACTAGACACTGACCTGAGACTCAACCCTTTATTTTCACCTCCTCCACCACTGATGGTCTCCTCAGGCCACAGTGTCATGGGTGACAGACGATGCTCATCCCGTACGTCCTCCGTCTGCTCACTTTGGTTCTATCTTTTTGTTGTTTGTTTGTTATTATTGATTTTATCTCTATAAATGTCCTTTAACATCATAACAACATTAAACTATTTAAAATGAGTATTTTATACTGGAGAAATGACAATGCAATGTTGTTAATGTTAGAAAACCTAAACTCCAGTTATTCATCTAGTAAAATATCACATCAGAAGTTAAACATCAGCCAGAAAATAATCCAAGATGTGATCAGATAATCCAATAACAAACACGACTGTTCTAATCCTTTTGTATGCAGATGGAAAATGAACAACTGCCTCCTGATTGGTCAGAATCAGACTCCAGTCTCTCTATCTCTCTCTCTCTCTGTCCCTCCCTCTGTCCCCCTCAGCCCCCCCTCCCTGTAGTGCCTCTGACTGTTTATGTCCAGAGAAGTTTATAAAACAACAACGTTAATAATCATTTATTAAAGTTGACAAAGTTTACAATCAAACTTGTTCATTCAGTCCTGATGTTTATATTCAAACAGGATGTGATGATGATGATGATGATGGTGATGGGTTCAAGCTTAAGTCTAGGGTAAACCTGACAACAAAAAACAAAGAGACCTAGTTAAAGATTCAATAAATTAATGTAATATTAGAAATTCTGAAGTTTTAGGATCATTTTAGAAAATGTAATTTCCCTTTGTTTTAGTGAAATGTTTTCTGTGTCCTTTAGTAGACTAAAATATATATACCATGGTATCACTCATTTACACACTGCAGCTGCAGTAGCAGCAGTAGTAGCAGCAGCAGTAACAGCAGCAGCAGCAGTAACAGCAGCAGTAGTTGTGTCTCTGGAAAGTCTCCTGTTAAAAGTGTTGATACAAATCTGTCAGAAATTCCTTTACAACAAATTCCAACAACATAAACATAAACATCATCAATTTTTCTCTGCTTTAGAGCAGACAACCAAATCCTCCTTCCTCCTCTCTCCTGTCTCCTCGCTCCTCTCTTCCACCTCCCATCCTGACCAGATTAGGAAACAAGTGTCTGCAACCCCCCTACCCCGCCCCGTTCTCGGTCTCTAACTTGACCCCTGAATGCGGTCATCTTTTCTTACTGGATTTGTTTGCATTCTTACCAGAAGGTGGTGCTCTTCTGCAAAATCTTGGGCAGTGACTGGAGTCAAGTCATTGTTTTACTGACAAAATCTCACAAAAAACATTCCCTTTAGAATTGTGATCAGGCCCTAGGTCCTGACTCACAGCACTCCCTGCTGTTAGAACCCAGTCCTGCAACGTCAGGGAACGTAAGAAGCGCTTTAAAAAGCAGAGTAAACTTCAGCTTGGACTGGAGAACTGTCGTGAAACATTTTATTTCCTTCGGTCTTGTTTTAGTCGGGTCATTTAATTTGACCATGCAGTTTTTTTTAGATGTTGAAATGCTTCCATTTAGTGAACGAATGTTAATCTACCGTCTTCAAGCAGGCACGTACATGACTTGACATGAAGATTTCTTTTTTTTTAGGACCCCACTCCCCCCCTTCACACACACACATACACACACATACATACATTTCATATAACCGGAGTGAAAGTGAACTACTTTTTTGTTATTATTTATTATTTTTCTATTTTTTCATTATTGTGACACTGCACTCCCACTGCCCACAACCAAATGACCTCTGCTTTTAACAGTGACCACCTGTCCCGCTTTACGTTACGTCACGAAAACTTTTGTCCCACTTGGTCATTTGAAATTACTTAATAGAAAAAACTAAACTTTATGGGCACGACTATCAGTGCAGTCCATAACAATGATAGGCCACTACGAGGAGAAGGCGGTAGCTGACAGGCTGAGTGGTGTGTCAATCAAACTGCTGACTCGCAGCAGTCACACAGCGTCTGAAATCGTAGAACGCGCAGTTGTTTTGATATTGTGAAGGTTCCCACGTGTGGAGTGCCGACAGAAGACGCCATCTTTTGGCTGAGACCAGTGGATGGAGACTGAATCAGCATTCTGGAATTGATAGGAAACGACACGGTGCACGTGAGTCTCAAACAAGTACACAACAGAAAACTTCCAAAAGTGTGTAGTATTTTTTCTGTAAACCAAATGACACTGAGTTAAAATAATAAATGACCGCAGTAAAAGTTACCAGTGTTTACCGTATAGAGTATCTACAGCGATGCTGAATATATATTCACGGCCATTGAATCTTGTTGTAGCCTAGGTTTAAACTTTTGTTTGCTTTTCTGCTGCCAATGTTTCAGAAACGTGCCATTCCCAGTGCTGAGAAAGGCAGTTGGCCTGCCATCTGCTGGATTGTGATGCAAAATCTGCCTGGTGGTGTTGGGGTATTTCTATTTTTTTATTCTCATGTTTTGGTCACAAATGGCCATAATGATAATTATAATCCACAGGAGTTGTTGGTTTTACATAGACCATTTACATTGAAATTGTTGAATTTGACATCAGGTCATATTTAGTTGTTGTCCTATCTTCTTATTTGATGTTAAATGTGGAAGAATTAAGATATTGAATCAATAATGATGTTACATTACAACATGTGTTGTGTTGAGATATTGTTTCCCAAAGACTGGGTCGCGACCCTCAGGTGGGTCACAAGATATATTTTTTTGGGTCGTCACGACGCAACATGTTTCCCAGGAGTTTATGAATAATAATAATGTCCATTGACTTGTGTCGTGAAGGTTTGTGACTTTTAAAATAGTTCCTGAACAAATCTCCGAAAAAAAAGTTTTTCAAAAATGACTAAAAATACACTCATTTGTCTTAAAATACTTAGCTATGTCCATTTCTGTTGTTAAAATTCAGAAAAAATAAACTTTTTTGGTACGTCAACTTTTGAGCACAATAGAATCCTATACCAATAAATTCCTGAACAAATCTCCGAAAAAAAAGTTTCTCAAAAATGACTAAAAATACACTCATTTGTCTTAAAATACTTAGCTATGTCCATTTCTGTTGTTAAAATTCAGAAAAAATAGACTTTTGGTACGCCAACTTGGTCGACACTTGGGTGATGTCCAGCTTGTTCTTCATTTGTTCTTCAGTTGTTCTTCGGTTGTTCTTCAATTAGTGGACAATTAGTCAACTCTTAGTCGGTGGCAATTCAGTCACTTGGTCAGGTCTTGGTCGTGGGTCATCACTTGGACGTCACTTGGTCTTCACTTGGTCTTCACTTGGAGGTCGCTTGGAGGTCACTTGGTCTTCACTTGGCGGTCTCTTGGAGGTCACTTGGAGGTCGCATGGACATCACTTGGTCTTCACTTGGTCTTCACTTGTAGGTCGCCTGGAGGTCACCTGGTCTTCACTTGGTCTTCACTTGGTCTTCGCTTGGAGGTCACTTGGACGTCACTTGGTCTTCCCTTGGTCTTCACTTGGTCTTCACGTGGTCTTCGCTTGGAGGTCGCTTGGAGGTCGCTTGGAAGTCGCTTGGTCTTCAGTTGGGCTTCACTTGGAGGGCGCTTGGACGTCACTTGGAGGTCGCATGGACATCACTTGGTCTTCACTTGGTCTTCACGTGGAGGTCACTTGGAGGTCGCATGGACATCACTTGGTCTTCACTTGGTCGTCACTTGTAGGTCGCCTGGACGTCACCTGGTCTTCACTTGGTCTTCACGTGGTCTTCGCTTGGAGGTCACTTGGAGGTTGCATGGAAGTCGCTTGGCCTTCAGTTGGTCTTCACTTGGAGGTCGCTTGGACGTCACTTGGAGGTCGCATGGACATCACTTGGTCTTCACTTGGTCGTCACTTGGAGGTCGCTTGGACGTCCCTTGGTCTTCACTTGGAGGTCACTTGCAGGTCGCATGGACATCACTTGGCCTTCACTTGGTCTTCACTTGGTGGTCACTTGGAGGTCGCATGGACGTCACTTGGTCTTCGCTTGGAGGTCACTTGGAGGTCGCTTGGACGTCACTTGGTCTTCGCTTGGTCTTCGCTTGGTGTTCGCTTGGAGGTCACTTGGAGGGCGCTTGGACGTCACTTGGAGGTCGCATGGACATCACTTGGCCTTCACTTGGTCTTCACTTGGTCTTCACGTGGAGGTCACTTGGAGGTTGCATGGACGTCGCTTGGTCTTCAGTTGGGCTTCACTTGGAGGGCGCTTGGACGTCACTTGGAGGTCGCATGGACGTCACTTGGTCTTCCCTTGGTCTTCACTTGGAGGTCGCTTGGACGTCCCTTGGTCTTCACTTGGTCTTCACTTGGTCGTCACTTGTAGGTCGCCTGGAGGTCACCTGGTCTTCACTTGGTCTTCACTTGTATGTCGCCTGGAGGTCACCTGGTCTTCACTTGGTCTTCACGTGGAGGTCACTTGGAGGTCGCATGGACATCACTTGGTCTTCACTTGGTGGTCACTTGGAGGTCGCATGGACATCACTTGGTCTTCCCTTGGTCTTCACTTGGAGGTCGCTTGGAGGTCGCTTGGAGGTCACTTGGAGGTTGCATGGACGTCACTTGGTCTTCCCTTGGTCTTCACTTGGAGGTCACTTGCAGGTCGCATGGACATCACTTGGCCTTCACTTGGTCTTCACTTGTATGTCGCCTGGAGGTCACCTGGTCTTCACTTGGTCTTCACGTGGTCTTCGCTTGGAGGTCACTTGGAGGTCACTTGGAGGTTGCATGGAAGTCGCTTGGCCTTCAGTTGGTCTTCACTTGGAGGTCGCTTGGACGTCCCTTGGTCTTCACTTGGTCTTCACTTGTATGTCGCCTGGAGGTCACCTGGACTTCACTTGGTCTTCACTTGTATGTCGCCTGGAGGTCACCTGGACTTCACTTGGTCTTCACTTGTATGTCGCCTGGAGGTCACCTGGTCTTCACTTGGTCTTCACGTGGAGGTCACTTGGAGGTTGCATGGACGTCGCTTGGTCTTCAGTTGGTCTTCACTTGGAGGTCACTTGCAGGTCGCATGGACATCACTTGGTCTTCCCTTGGTCTTCACTTGTAGGTCGCCTGGACGTCACCTGGTCTTCACTTGGTCTTCCCTTGTAGGTCGCCTGGAGGTCACCTGGTCTTCACTTGGTCTTCACGTGGAGGTCACTTGGAGGTCGCTTGGACGTCCCTTGGTCTTCACTTGGTCTTCACTTGTATGTCGCCTGGAGGTCACCTGGTCTTCACTTGATCTTCACTTGGTCTTCGCTTGGTCTTCACTTGGAGGTCACTTGCAGGTCGCATGGACATCACTTGGTCTTCACTTGGTCTTCACGTGGAGGTCACTTGGAGGTCGCATGGACATCACTTGGTCTTCCCTTGGTCTTCACTTGGTCTTCACTTGTATGTCGCCTGGAGGTCACCTGGACTTCACTTGGTCTTCACTTGTAGGTCGCCTGGACGTCACCTGGTCTTCACTTGGTCTTCACGTGGAGGTCACTTGGAGGTTGCATGGAAGTCGCTTGGCCTTCAGTTGGTCTTCACTTGGAGGTCACTTGCAGGTCGCATGGACATCACTTGGTCTTCACTTGGTCGTCACTTGTAGGTCGCCTGGAGGTCACCTGGTCTTCACTTGGTCTTCACGTGGAGGTCACTTGGAGGTCACTTGGAGGTTGCATGGAAGTCGCTTGGTCTTCAGTTGGTCTTCACTTGGAGGTCGCTTGGACGTCACTTGGTCTTCACTTGGTCTTCACTTGGAGGTTGCTTGGACCTCGCTTGGATGTCACTTGAGGTCGTTTGGGTGTCA